AATGAAGATGTTGGATTTTACCATACTATCAAAATTTTCCTCCTTTTGTACATATTGTCAATATTTCATACATGTACTAAAGTCAGGGCATTAATCATGCAGTCATGACCACCATCTCAACCTTTTCAATTGCAAAGTTGCTGTTAGTACCCTTTATAATGCCTTGGTAAGACCATCAATTTTGGTCACTACAATATAAAAAAGATGTTGAGACTCTGGAAAGAGTGCAGAGATGATGAGGGGGTTGGAGGCTAAAACATATGAAGAACAGTTGTAGGAATTGGGTATGTGTAATTATGCCGCAACCAATGCTCCTAATGGTGGGTGGAATAGATACATGAGAGAGGGAGAGGGCATGGGAAAGGGAGAGGGAGAGGTAAGACTGCAGAAAATTGCATCCAGTTTTGGTCATCATATTATAAAAAAGATATTAAAACTCTTGAAAGATTGCAAAGAAGAGCAACAAAGATGATTAGAGGGCTGAAGGCTAAAACATATGAAGAACGGTTGCAGGAATTGGGTTTGCCTAGTCTAGTGAAAAGAAGGACTGGAGTGACATGATAGCAGCATTCCAATATTTGAGGGGCTGCCACAAAGAAGAGGGGGGGGGGTCAAACTATTTTCCAAAGCACCAGAAGGCAAGACAAAGAGCAATGGATGGAAACTAATGGAAGAGATAAGCAACCTGGAATTAAGGAGAAATTGCCTTACAGTGTAAACAATTATCCAGTGGAACAGCTTGCCTTCAGAATAGCAATAGCAATGCCACTTAGACTTATGTACTGCTTCACAGTGCTTTACAGCCCTCTCTAAGTGGTTTACAGAGTCAGCATATTGCCCCCAACAATCTAGGCCCTCATTTTACTGACCTTGGAAGGATGGAAGGCTGAGTCAGCCTTCAGCCAGTGAGACTTGAACTGCCGAACTGCCGGCAGCTGGCAGTCAGCAGAAGTAGACTGCAATACTGCATTCTAACCACTGCGCCACTAGAGGTTTTGGTTGCTCCATCACTGAAGGTTTTAAAGAAGAGATCGGACAGCCATTTGTCTGAAATGCTATAGGATTTCCTGCCTGAGCAGGGGATTGGACTAGAAGGTCTCCAAAGACCCTCCCAACTCTGTTATTCTGTCCTGCCACTAGGAACTACAGGGATCCTATCCAGTAAATGACCATGATATTTATACAATCATAAATCATACCACATTTAGTTTACAACAACAACAACAATAAAGTTAGACCTTGGAGGTCATCTGGTCCAACCCCCTGCTCAGGCAGGAAATCCTATACCATTTCAGACAAATGGCTGTCCAGCCTCTTCTTAAAAACTTCTAGTGTTGGACCATTCACCGCTTCTGGAGGCAGGTTGTTCCACTGGTTAATTGTTCTAACTATCAGGAATGCTATATTTTTTGTACTCTTTTAATTGTTTTTATGTTTTATGTCAGAGTCACTTGTGGAGATGGGCATCTATAGAAATCAATAAAATAAAATAAATAAATAATGTTGATTCCAAAATTGGAATCTGGAATCTGGAGGACATCAGATTGGGAACACTGTAACCTCTTGAGCCCATGGGCTGGTATACTAATCAGGTATGTATATCTGAAGATGTGTAGTGAGAGAAATGGGAATTCTCTGATTAAACAGTCAGCTGCCCTCAGGTATGCTGGGAGATGCTGATCACTTGCCAATAGAAGTGCATTCAGTTGGAAATCTTTCTTAATCTAACTTAGCTGACATTACAGCAGGATGTTCTCTGCTCTGCAGAAGATCATGATATATTTGTTTCCTTTCCAGATGGACACTATGGAATATGGAAAGAGGCAGCAAACAGAGGCATTTGACAATACGTTCTGGCCTGCTTCTTATCTCTCTGACTGGATGTCTGGCTTACCTGACCACCTTTCTCTTTCCAAAATCTCCATCCCTGGCACCCATGACTCCATGAGCGTGCTTGGAGGCCCAAAGATCTGTTGTCAGACTTGGCCACTTGAGGCTCAGCTAGCTGCTGGGGTGCGTTTCTTGGATATCCGTTGTAAGCTGGAAAATGGCCGTTTCCTTATATACCATGTCAACACTTTCCAGGAGGCAGACTTTTCTGATGTCCTGGAAGGCACCTTGAGCTTCCTCAACCAACACCCAGGGGAAACGGTACATATGAGAGTTAAAGAAGAACTCCCATTTATTCCCAATGTAGATTACGCTTCTCGCTTCCAACGTTATTTAGCTGAAGAAGGCCGGAATAAAGTTTGGATGAAGGAGGCCATTCCCACTTTAAGGCAGGCTCGGGGGAAGATTATTATTTTGGAGGAACTTGAGAAAGAGGTGCTAGGTGTTCCATATGAAGAATTGAGTGTTAGTGATGTGTGGCATGTTTTCTGCCCTGAGTGCAAATGGGAGCAAGTGAAGGAGCATCTTGACTTGGCAACCACTGGTGACCCAAATGTCCTGCACCTTACCTTTTGTTCTGGTAATGGCCTCTTCACAAATCCCGAGAAACTAGCCAGAGACATCAACCCACGTTGTCATCAATATCTCAAGTCTCAGGCTGGACCAGCTCTGTGTTGGGGTGTGGTAATCCTGGATTTTCCTGGCACAGGATTGATTCAAACCATTGTGGAAAGTAACTTTGGAACACAGCATTATGATGATGTAACCATTTGACATTTGTGATGAAACGGTGAAGAGGAGGATTCTAGAATAATGCGCATATACTAGCTTCAGAAGCTTGGTAACAGTATATTTTTTTCAAACAAACAGCAAGAATCAAACTTGTTGGAAGCCACATCCTGCAATGGAAGATGTGGCTTCTTTGTCCTGATCTGAAAGCTCACGAATTATCCTGTTTCATCCTGAGTTATGAATTTGGAAGCAGCCTCAAGAGTGACTTTGGCCACTGCTGGCATTGCAACGTAACCACAGTAGCTTCCCTAATAGATGGGCCATCCATCAAAACCTGAAATAAAGGAGAGTCCATCGCTTTCAACACATTCTATTCCATTTCCAAATACCGCAGATCATTAGGAAGGATTTGTTTTCTTGTAATGTAATTCTCCGAAACAAAACAAAGAATGCATTTGCTCCATTATCAATAATAAGAGCTTCAGCTATTACATTATTTGCTTTTCAATAATGCCTTTTTCAAGTTATACACACCCAACTCTCAATATTTCCTAAAAGAATTTGATTTTCTAATCTTTTTCCAGTTTCCGTCTTTTTCCTTTCAGCAATTTTAACTGTTTTTCCAATGTAAGGAAAACACCAGACCAAAACATTTATTGAATTATTCACTTGCTCTTCATTCTAGTCCCCCTCCCCCCTTTTGGGCATACATTGCTTGCCTTAAAAGAGAATATACTGGGAGCCAATGCAACTCATAAAGTAGAGGTGTTACATAGGTACAGAGGACAGTTCCACATTGAGCACATTATAGTAGTCCAAACCAGAAGTGAGTAAGATGTGAGTGACTATAACTAGTCACTCGTTGGGTCAATAAACCTGCACAATTAATGCATTTGGTTATGTAAAGGATTTCTTGGCCACAGCTGCCATCTGCTCTTCAAGAATGTTTGGCAGGAATGAGTAATGATGCATATAATAGAGCCATTTTGATCTGGTGTTTAAGGCACCAGGCTAGAAAGTGGGAGATTGTGAGTTCAAGTCCCACCTTAGCCATGCAAGCCAAGTGGGTGACTTTGAGCCTGTCACTCTCTTTCTGCCCAGCCCACCTCATAGGGTTTTTGCAGGCAAATAGGAAGAATGTGTGTTGGATATGTTTGCTTCTTGAATTATTTGTAAACATAATAAAAAGGCAGGATATAAATAAACAAATAGATAAATATTGCTCAACATTCTACTTGCTGGCCCTGGTTTTTGGCCTGAAGATGGGCACACTACTTTTGTTTATATCTTTCAAAAGCTAATATAGTCAGAGTCAGGATCTTCAGTTTTGAACTACTTTGTTTCAGAAACCACTGCAACCCAGTCCTAGATTTACTGATCAAATGCCTTAGCCGAACCAAAATGATTTTGGGAAGATTGGCAGGAGAAAAAAAAAATTGATTTGATTGTGGGGAAAAGTCAGAGATTGTTCTTGAGCATGGTTGAATTTCCCATCACTAAAAGGTATGAAGAAAGGGCCTTGAATATCCTTGGAGAATAATTTTAAGATAACTTTAGATTCTTGCTTTTTATATATACCTTTAATTTTTATTTGTTTTCTTTAATTTTTTATTTATATCTAATTTATATCTTCTAGCTTTTTATATTTTTAGGCTCTTGATGTATCTTTGTGCTTTTTATTGACTGTATCTCACTCTCTCTATGCTGGTCTATAACAGTGATAAAAATTTGAATTGAAGAAGTGCAGTGGAATGGCCGAAAGAAAGAATGGTGTTGAAAGAAAGAGTGTGTAAGGAAAGAAAGAAAACCCAAAATCCATCATATTTTTTCAGCCAAAATGCACTGAGCTATCAGGTCTCAACCATGGACTTCCTCTATTCAGGTTTATTAAAATTCCCTTTCAATTTCTGATGAAAGTTGGAGATAATAACCATTTTCACTTTTAGCACCTTCTTTTCTGCCTTTGTTGTTTAAAGTATCTTGTATAAGAGGCTTTAAGAAAAGTGTCCTTCTCAGAAGAACCAAAACCAGAAACTAGAGAGGCTACATTTGACTCCCATTCTTTGAAGAGAAAAACATTTAAAAAAAAAAATACAAATCTTCACAATTCTATCATTTATGTTAATAGGGAGAAACTAGTCCAGGATCAGTTAATGAACATTGTGGCTTTGTGAGATTTGAAGGTATTATGCACACTTCTTCCCACTCTTTACTTCCTTTTTTTGGGGGGGGGGAGATAAATCAGCCTCACTCATTCTTATCCAGCTACATGATGAAGCCCTCTGGGACTTCTGGAAAATTAGCACTTGGAGATCATCTCTACCTGGACCACAGTCCCTTAAATAGATGTCACATATTTATAACTTTGCAGGAAATATCAGCATGTTCTTCTGTTTAGAGATGTGGTGGCGCACTTAAAATGCTGTATTGCAGGTTGACTCTGCCCACAGCCAGGACTTCGATCCTGACTGGCTCAAGGTTGACTCAGTCTTCCATCCTTCCAAGGTGGGTAAAATGAGGACCCAGATTGTTGGGGGCAATATGCTGACTCTGTAAACTGCTCAGAGAGGGCTGTAAAGCATTATAGAGTGGTATATAAATCTAACTGCTATTCCTATTCCTATTTATGAAAGATCTGAGTTTAGAATGAGGAATACCTTCCTCCTATATCATCTCCAGGTTTACAACTTCTACCATAGTTAGTTTGGGCATGAGAAATGAACTCTATAGCTGCTAAAGTTTGATCAGTGGAATGTTGAATGTTATTGAAGACAAAAACTCAGGTCCCTGTGACCGATTCAGATTGGTTCCTGCAAAACTAATACAAAACTACTATAACTACTATGTTCTGCAGGTTTTCCAACAGACTATATTTTAGATCCCTATTCACCCTTTAGGGAATATTTCCCCTACTCTCTGTGTAAGAAATTGGTGGGCTGGAAGCACCAGATACTATTTTAGATCCAGCAATTTTATTTCTCTCTGTGTGTGTGCATGTGTGTCTATGGACAAAGCCATGTTTGTGTGTGAATGTATTTCCAACCATTTCTGATTCTTATTTCTTTTAATCATGGCAACAGTGCTTTTCTACATTTCCCTTCCAAAATGTATCATGTAAACATTTAACTGAATTTTAATAAGGATATTTTTATGGATTTGGGGAATGTTGATATGCAGAGTAACGTATGAATAGAGGGAACAAAGCAAGCAGCATGAATTTTGAGATAGTTGGAGATGACACTGAAAACACACATAGGAACTGGCAGCTCTGCTTAGAATCTGAAGGCAGAATACATGTATATGTTCATTTACACAAATAACAGAATAACAGAATAACAGAGTTGGAAGGGACTTTGAAGGTCTTCTAGTCCAACCCCATGCTCAAGCAGGACACCCTATATCATTCCAGACAAGTGGCTGTCCAGTCTCTTCTTAAAAGCCTCCAATGATGGAGCACCCAAAACTTCTGAAGGCAAATCATTCCACTGGTTAATTGTCCTCACTGTTAGGACATTTCTCCTTTGTCTTAGGTTGCTTTTCTCCCTGATTGTTTCTTGTCTTGCCTCTCGTGCTTTGGGAAATAGGTTGACTCCTCTTCTTTGTGGCAGCCCCTCAAATATTGGAACACTGCTATCATGTCACACCTAATCCTTTTTTTTCGCTGGACCAGGCAAATCCAATTCCTGCAATCATTCTTTATATGTTTTAGCCTCCAGCCCTCTCATAATCTTTGTTGCTCTTTTCTGCATTCTTTCCAGAATCTGTACATCTTTTTTATAATATGGTGACCAAAATTGAATGCAGTTTTCTTCTCCCTCTCTCTCCCTCTTCCTCTCCCTCTCCCCTCTCTTATCTGTCTGTCTATTCCACCCACCATTAGGAGATTGGCTGCATCATAATGATATATCTATCTTATACTTTTCAACATAGTCCATAATTCCCGGACCTTCAGTTTACAAACAAGCTCTTATATGGGGTTATGTTCATAAAAGCCTAATTGTTCTTTCTATGTGGAGGACGCAATTTGAAGAGGAGGCTCTTAAGACACTCGGGCTTAGTTCACTCCATCTCCTCCCCCACTGTTTTTCCTAGCAGAAGCATTTCCGTTCTGACTGCTGCAATTAACACCCACCTAGAACTGGTCTGGGAGAATAGAGCTTCAAAAGTGTCTTCGCAAGAATCTTTGTCACAGTAGAAGTGGTCATTGGACTTTTGGCCCAGAAAGTTACAAGGAATGTGCTAAGCATCTCTTTGAAAGCTGAACCTCCTTGAGAGATGTTTGGAATTCTGGAGAAAAGGATGTTTGAAAAATGAAAAGTAATTATAGGTAGTCCTTAACGTACAAACAGTTCGTTTAGTGACCGCTCAAACTTACAACAGCACTGAAAAAAGTGGCTTATGACCATTTTTCACGGTTACAATCTTTGTAGCATCCCCATGATCAGGTGATCAAAACTCAGACGCTTGGCAACTGGTTCATACTTATGACCATTGCTATGTCCCAAGGTCATGTGATCCCCTTTTGCAACCTTATGACAAGCAAAGTCAATGGGGAAGCCAGATTCACTTAACCGGGTTACTAACTTATCAATGCAGTGATACACTTAACAACTGTGGCAAGAAAGGTAATAAAATGGGGCAAAACTCACTTAACAAATCTCTCACTTGACAATAGAAATTTTGGACTCAATTGTGGTCGTAAGCCGAGGACTACCTGTACCCTAAACCTTTCTTCCTGAGATACTGGAAACATACACCAATCATTTCAGTAGATTGCCATGTCCTTTAGAAGTGTTTCTTACATTATTCTCCATTAGGATCCTATGAACGCTTATAAAAGAGATGGATTGGATTATATCTGTCAGCATTAAAAGGTATGGCACCAATAGACTGAGTAAGCAAAACTTCAAAAATCTTAAAGTGAGAGAAGAAAGAAGGAAAGGGGAAACTAAAAAATACATGGCAGAGAATCACATTATCTATGTTAGGCTATGAGTTTAAACTAGGATTGAGAATATCTGTTGAGAAAACACCTCTTAAATCAGCATCAATTTGAAAACATCAAGAAAAATAACTGTTTAACACTGCCCCCCAAAATCTTTTCAAATAATTATAATCAGTATAATTCCTTCATCCTTGCTTTCTGCCTTTACTAATAACCAGCTTGTTGCTCTTTTATGTCCATTGTCCTTCTTATATAGACTGATGAATGTATTGAAAATATTTATTAATTGCAGAATGTAGAATGGAGTGAGAACAAAAGCATGGAGACTGGATTTATTTTTCTAGAATTCAACATTAATGAAACTTTGCAGATTATGATTTTTTAATTTTTTTATTCTCATGTTCCTCATCACACTGTCAGAACACACGACTATTTTGATCATATATATAATTGATCCCGCTTTTTACACACCCATATATTTCTTCCTGTGCAACCTCTCTTTTATTGAAATCTGCCATACTCTGGTCATTGTGCCCCTAAGGCTGGTCAACCTCTTGGTCAAGAATAGTGCAAGAATAGTCATGACAGCATGCGCTACACAAATGAATTTCTTCATTGCTTTGGGGGATGTGGAATTGTGTGTCCATATGCAATCCACTGTGCTGTATACCCCCGTCATGAACAGAAATGTGTTTGTACAGTTTTGGGTCTTTTCAGTCTTCCATTTTCTGGCTCACATAACATTAATCACTTCTTCTGGGATATCCCACCAGTGCTTCTTTTTTGGTGTGTGTAGCCATACAAATACCAACAAAGTGGCTGATTTTGTTGTCTGGCTGACAAAGTTGCTCATTCAATTCCTGTTTATCCTGGTTTCCTACATTTTTATTGGCAATTCTACCTTTAAGATCAAGTGTTTTGAAGGCTGGAAAATGCCTTCTCTATCTGTGTTGCTCACCTGGTTGTGGTCATCCTCCATTGTGGTTGTACCATTTTCATCTATATCTGTCTGAAGGCCAACTACTCCCTAGAACACAGCAAAGTGATCTCTTTGATCTATAACAATTTCATACCTGCATTGTACTTTATAATTTACAGTTTCTGAAACAAGTAAGTCGAGGGAGCACTTAGGGAAACAGGGGAAAGGAAATTAATTTTAATGGAAAGACAGTAATTATACAGCTAGTGTTTCAAGGAGGAACTGAGGAAGATGTAGACAAGAAACAAATGGCTTTATATTTCTAATACTGGCCTTTTACAGTAGGTTACCTGAACAAAAGAATTCTGAAAATTCCAGTGGGATGATTAGACTCAAAAGAACTAATATGCCATATGTATTTATTCTCTGCAAATTCAGTGCAGGTAATCCTTAGGTTATGACCATAATTGAGCCAAAATATGGTCATAAGTCATTGCGATCATTAAGTGGGTCACCACATGACTCGATCAAATTTTACAACATTTTTTGCTGTACTAGTTAAACGAGTCCCATGTTTGTTGAGTGAATCCATTTTACCCAATGGCTATTTATAACCAGGAATTAAGGAGAAACAGTGAGGACAATTAACCAGTGGAACGGCTTGCCTTCAGAAGTTGTGGGTGCTTCATCATTGGAAGTCTTTAAGAAGAGACTGGACAGTCACTTGTCTGGACTGGTATAGGGTCTCTTGCTTGAACAGGGGGTTGGACTAGAAGACTTCAAAAGTCCCTCTCAGCTCTATTCTGATTGATTGATATTTTTGCTGCAAACTAGAAGTAAACACCAGAAACGGATAAAAAATTGTCAAAAATTGCAGTCGTGTGACTGCAGGGCACTGCAGGTCACTGCAAACAGCTGTAAAGGTGATCATGGGATCACATGACCAGGAGTAATTGCGACTCTTGTAACTTTGAAATCAGGTTGTAGGTAGTTTTTGTGAGGCAGGGACATAACTTTGGTTGCTAAGCAACCACTCGTAAGTCAAGGACTACCAGTATTAAAAAAGAGTCTACTGCCAATCCTACTGTTTTCTGCACTAGAGTGAGTAACATGGTACCCTCCAGATTCTTTGATCTATAACTACCACATTATACTGCTGGCTGGGAGAGAGTTTTTAGAGGACACTATGACTCCTCAGCTTTTGCACTGGGCTTTTCTTATAAACCCCAAATTTGCTCTCAAATCTTGGATCTAAATTTGGAGGCTCGACCTCAATTACATTTGTACATCCCAATGGTTCAACTTTTAGGCAACAGTCTGAAATCAATATAATCTTTCCCACTTGTGTATCTTTCAGTAACTGCATATGACTTCACCTGAAAGACTTTGACAAACTCCAAACATTTTGTTCATTGCGAGGTAACCATATCAATTGGGAATATAATTTTTCTTGAAATGTCTATTAAAGCATTTCATACACCATACAGTGCTATGGTGATCCTGGAAAAAGGTTGAATATTATACCTACCATAGGATAGGATTTCATGCCACACGTAACTTGTATGGAAGTCCTACAATGTTCACCCAGTTTAAGATGTGAGTCACAATTAGATGTCTTGTTTTACATAGATAGGGCATCAAGTTTAAACCTGCTTAAAAGCAGCATATTGAAATATCTGGATATGTTTTTCTGGTATGAAGAACATTTGTATATTCATGGATGATGATTGCAGCAGTCAACAACTTTAGGAAGACTATGAATGCTCTGTTCAATGGTGTGTACTTATCAGATCAAAACAATTAGCAAACAAACAAATCAAATTATTTATTTTAAAGAAAGGTAGAATCCCTAAGTATGTTTACGCAAAATACTTCCCACTGGATTCAGTGGTTTTTATTTCAGAGTGATCATGGATTGGAATCTGTGCCCAAATTTCCAATCAGCTAAACTTTTAATCTCTTGTAAGATTTTTAAAGACTGCTTAGACTTGCCTTCATCCTTTGCAAGTGATCATGGAATACAGATATTTGCCGATGTGGTAATGAGCCCAATGCTTTCGAAAAGAAGGATGCGCAAATATTCAAGCTATAGACTGAGTGGTGTGGTATCTCTCTGTCTGTCCAGTCATCCTTCCATCAATCCATCGATCCATCATCTATTGTTTCCTTGCTATAATCACAGAAAGATCTATATATACTATAGTATTAATAGTGGAAGTTTGTTAGGTGCTACTGTTACAGGGAGAGATATGCACAAAAGTAGAAAAACTGAAAGCATGATGGGGAAGGGGGAGATTTTATGTAAGTACTGTAAATTAAAAGGAACCTAAGTGCTAAAAGCAGCTAAACATCTACTACCTTCAGGGCTAGTAACTCCGAATCCGATCGGACACTTCTAAGAGCCTATATTAGGACTTATTTAGTGGTGATACGAGCGGCAAAATGTTTGCATTTTTCCGCACTTATTGCGTCTGCAGAATCTTGCCCCGCCGCCCTGTTTAGGGTGACCCGTTCCCTACTTAATGTTCGGGAAGCTGGGGAGCCCTTACAGGGTAGAGCGGAGTAATTTGTGCAATTCTTATCAGAGAAAATCGCTCGGATTCGGACAGACCTAGACTCCGATTGGGCAGGGCCTTTCGAGATGACTGGGGCAGGTCTTAGCTCAGTTTTATGGGATGAATTTGAGTCTGTGACCGCTGAGGATGTTGACAGAGCGGTGGGAGCAATGAGCGCCTCCACTTGTTTATTGGACCCGTGTCCTTCCTGGTTGGTCTCGGCTGCCAAGGAGGTGACACGAAGCTGGCTCCAGGTGTTGATCAACGCTTCGTTGAGGGAGGGGTCTTTTCCACAATCCCTGAAGGAGGCGGTTGTGAGGCCCCTGCTCAAGAAGCCTACCCTGGACCCGACTGATTTAAATAACTTCCGTCCAGTCTCCAATCTCCCCTTTGTGGGGAAGGTTGTAGAGAGAGTGGTGGCGCTCCAGCTCCGACGGTCTCTGGATGAAACAGATTATCTAGACCCTTTTCAGTCTGGCTTCAGGCCCGGCTTCAGCACAGAAACCGCTTTGGTCGCGCTGATGGATGATCTCTGGTGGGCCCGAGACAGAGGTTATTCCTCTGTCTTGGTGCTACTTGACCTCTCAGCGGCCTTCGATACCATCAATCATGGTATCCTTTTGCGACGACTCAAAGGGGTGGGAGTGGGAGGCACCGTTTTATGGTGGTTCTCCTCCTACCTCTCTGGCCGGTCGCAATCGGTATTGGTGGGAGGGCAGAGGTCAACCCCGAGGCCCCTTGAATGCGGCGTGCCACAGGGGTCGGTCCTCTCTCCCCTCCTATTTAACATTTATATGAAGCCGCTGGGTGAGATCATCAGACAGCACGGGGTGAGGTTTCATCAGTATGCTGATGATACCCAGTTATATATCTCCTCCCCGAGCTCTCTCAGTGAAGCGGCCGATGTGATGGGCCGTTGCCTCGAAGCCGTGAGGGTCTGGATGGGGGTTAACAGACTCAGGCTCAATCCTGACAAGACCGAGTGGCTTTGGATGTTGCCTCCCAAGGATCATGTCGACTGTCCAGTGTTGACTCTTGCGGGGGAAAATATACCCCCTTCAGAGCGGGTTCGCAACTTGGGTGTCCTCCTTGATCCACAGCTGAATTTGGAACATCAATTGACGGCTGTGGCTGGGAGGACCTTTGCACAAGTTCGCCTGTTGCACCAGTTGCGACCCTACCTGGACCGGGAGGCTCTCCTTACAGTCACTCACGCCCTTGTCACCTCACGTTTGGACTACTGCAACGCGCTCTACATGGGGCTACCCTTGAAAAGTATTCGGAGACTACAGTTGGTCCAGAATGCAGCTGCACGAGTGATAGTGGGTGCTCCTCGATACACCCACGTTACACCTATACTCCGTGAGCTGCACTGGTTGCCTATTGGTCTCCGGGTCCAATTCAAGGTGTTGGTCATTACCTTTAAAGCCCTATATGGCTCAGGGCCAGGCTATTTGCGAGATCGCCTACTACCTCATAGTTCCCTACGTCTGGTTAGATCCCACAGGCTGGGCCTCCTTCGGACCCCGTCGACCAAGCAGTGCCATTTGGCGGGGCTGCGGAGGAGGGCCTTCTCGGTGATGGCGCCCACGCTTTGGAATCAGCTCCCCCCGGAGATTAGGACCGCGCCCACCCTGTTGGTCTTCCGTAAGCTACTTAAGACCTAGCTTTTCCGGCAGCCCTGGGGTTTATAAAACCTTACCCCTGGATGATTGTTTTTGTATTGTCGTTTGTTATGTTTTATGTGTTTTTTATTGTTAGCCGCCCTGAGTCCTTCGGGAGTGGGGCGGCTTATAAATTTTAAAAATAAAATAAATGAAGGTTTGTTCTCCAAGTTTGTGGGTTGGAGCTTGGAGAATGAACCTTCACCCTCATCCTATACCCGAGCTACAGATTTTCGCCACTATTGCAAATCTATTACCTTCTTCCACGGTGGCCAACCCTCTGACCCCCTTTAACTAAGAAGTTTCCAGACCGGCTGTGATACCATTGGCTCCATGAAAGAAGAATCTGTCTGGGTAAAAGTAGTTTTTGTTGCGGAATGTTTAGATTTAATTTTTGAGACTAGGAATATCCTTCTCTTTCTTTAGATGGGATAGTAACTGACAATTTAGGCAGCTGATTATTATGCTTATTTGCATTCGTTTCCATGCAGTTCATACAATGATGATCTTCCTTCGGTCCCTTCAAGTCTATCTGCCCCGGACAAGTTCCTGCATTTTCTTGGCAAGATTTTAAAAGTGGTTTGCCATTGCCTACTCCCTACAGCTGAGGGAGAGTGATCACCCAGGATCACCCAGCTGGCTTCATGCCCAAGATAGGAGTAGAACTCACAGTCCCCTAATTCTAAATGGATTCCTTACCTCCTACACCAAACTGCTTCTCTAATGATAACTTAGACATCCTTACTTTGTCCAGATATCTATTTCTAAGCCCACATAATTGCCCATCTTGGGGAATGAAAGGAATGGATCCTACAACTGATTGTTAGCCACTCTGTACACCTCAGTTCCTTCTGCCATAAAAGGAATGCAGATCGAGATTTCTGAGGACCTTTCAATGAATGGGGACATATCTGTGAAGTTTTTTTGTTTTTTTATTTGTTTTTTTTTTTTTTTTGGTGCTGCCTGTAATTCTATACTGGAAGATATGTTGGTTATTTTTCTAGGAGAGAAGCAACTAAAGAAAACTTTCCTGACAGTTAAAACAACTAATCAGAGGAACAACTTGCCTCCAGAAGTTGTGGATGCTCCAACACTGGAAGTTTTAAAGAAGAGATTGGGCAACATTTTTTGAAATGTTATAGGGTTTCCTGCCTGAGCAGGGGGTTGGACTAGAAGACCTCCAAAGTCCCTTCCAACTGTTATTCTGTTATACATATAGATCTGTTTATTTAAAAAAAAACAATCAAAACAATTTTACATGCTTAAAAAGCCCTATAGATAGTATGTAAAGACAATTGAAAAGGTAAGTGACTAACAGGTTTTAAATCCCTCTGATGCTGAGGAACAAATATAAACGTTCCTGGTAGCAGACATATTTATATAATTTTTGTTTTTGTTAATAACAATCATATATTCTTCTTATAACCCGCTAGGTGGCAATATTAAGTCAAACATGGCTGATCACCCAAAACTAAGCCTTTGGGCTAAGAGAAGACTAGGAGAAAAACACTGCAGAGCACAGTAGATAGGGAACTGGGAAAGAATTCCCAGTGGGAAAGAATTCACATTTATATTGCTGCTAAGAAAACATGCCCATTAGTAGAAACTGAGTGCAATGTGAAGGAGAATTTGCATCCTAAGAATATCAGCTTTCAGCTACAAGATGTAGGATGGAGATGCACAGACAGAATAACAGCACGGAGGATAATTTTATAATCCTTGGATTCAATACCAGTAGAACTTTACAATTTGCACTTTTCGCTTTGTTCCTTCTAATGCACCTCCTCACCCTCTCAGGAAACCTGGCCATTGTGGTCCTAACTTTAGTTGATCCTGCCCTCCACATCCCCATGTATTTCTTCCTGTGCAACCTGTCTTTCATTGAGGTCTGTTACACTCTGGTCATTGTGCCTCAAATGCTTGCCAACTTCTTGGACAAGAGCAGAAGTGTGTCCTTGACTGCCTGTGCAGCACAGATGTACTTCTTCATTGCTTTTGGGGGCTCTGAATGTTTTCTATTGGCTTTGATGGCCTATGATAGATACACAGCCATATGCAACCCATTGTGCTACACTCTCATCATGAACAAGAATTTCTGCAAAAAAATTTTGGCGATAGCCTGCATCAGTGGATTCACAATCTCACTGGGACTCACTACTTTGATTTTCAGTCTTCCCTTTTGCAGTTCACATAACATTAACCACTTCTTCTGTGACATCCCACCATTGCTGTTCCTGGCATGCAACGACACACATGACAAAGAAGTGGCTGTGTTCCTTGTCTGCACAATGATTTTACTCGTTCCATTCTTGCTCATTCTGATTTCCTATGTCTTTATTGCCCATTCCATCCTCATGATCAAGTGTGCTGAAGGCCGGAAAAAGGCCTTCTCCACCTGTGCCGCTCACTTGATTGTGGTCATCCTCCACTACGGCTGTGCTATCTTTATCTACATCCGTCCTAAGGCCAGCTACTCCCTGAATGAAGACAAACTGGTATCTTTGATCTACACCAATGTGACACCTATGATGTACCCCATGATTTATAGCCTCCGTAATAAGGAAGTCAAAGGTGCATTGAAGAGACTATGGGAAAAGACATTTATTTCCATGGAAAACAAACAGATGAAACATTGATATGCCAGTTGCCAGGAGAAAATGATCTGACTATTTTTTCTTTAACCAAGAAGAAATGTTAAATCAATAACTGTTGCTTGGGGTTTTTTTTTAATATTCCAATGTAGTAGATTTTATTCTTGAGTCAATCTGAAACTTCCTGATTTTATCCATGCTTTGATCCCAGAGAATCTACTTGCATCCTGATTGTCAAGATTTGTAGCTTCTTTCTTGGTATCTGTCTTTCTGAGTATATTTGAGAGAAATTACTTTACTTGTAATTGAATAATAAACATTCTAAGGATCCATTTGTGCTAAATACTCAAATAGTAGTCTATTGTGTGGAAGCAACTAAGGTTGGAAGAGTAACTTAAAATTTTTTTGAAAAATGGAGCTTAATTAGTAACTTGCAGTAAATTGATTTCAGATATTGCAGCCTTGCACATCATTTAGGTGTGAGAATTTCTAAATCAGATGCTTCACAACCAATTTCTGAATAGTAGCATTTTAAAAATCTAGATTGTATAGAACAGTGGTTCTCAACCTTTTTAATGCCGCGACCCCCAACTGGTTGTAAGTCGAGGACTACTCAACCGGTCGTAAGTCAAGGACTACTCAACTGGTGCAGCACCGTTTGCAGAATGGGACTTTTGGCGGGCTCAGCAGGGCAGAGACAGCCTGGACAAGTCCTATTGGCTTTTGAAAGCCAATAGAATTAGACTCTATTTAAGAGAGTCTATTCTATTGGCTTTCAAAAGCCAATAGAATAAAAGGGAGTAGCACAGCTAATAAAAAGGGGGAAAAAAGTGGCGGATTGCGTTGTTTGGCGACCCCCGTGAAATGGTTGTTCGACCCCAAATGGGGTTCCGACCCACAGGTTGAGAACCACTGGTATAGAATAAAACTTTAGGAAATGACTATGAGACCATCAAAATTGTATTGGTCTAAGACTGTAATAAAATGACTGACTGAATCTTCAGGATTTTTTGTTTGTCTGAATATTTATCTCAGACTTTCCCCAACATTAACAACCTTCCATTTTGTGTTAGGACTACATTTCCCCAAATCCTCAGCCAATATAACCATTAGCCAGGCTGGTTGCTGAGAATTCTAATTCCAGCATGTATGGAAGACATCATACTGAGAATGTTGAATATTTAGAAGTGGCTCTAAAAATCTACCTTCCACAAGAGCAGATTAAAAAAAAATGAAGATGTTGCATTTCACCATAGTATCAAAACTTTCCTCCTTTTGTATGTATTGTCAATATTTCATACATGTACTAAAGTCAGGGCGTTAATTATGCAGTCATGACCACCATCTCAACCTTTTAAACTGCAAAATGTTCACCTTTGCTGTTAGTACTCTTTATAACACCTTAGTAAGACCACCCTTGTCATACTACATCCAGTTTTGGTCACCACAATATGAAAAAGATGTTGAGACTCTGGAAAAAGTGCAGAGATGATTAGGGGGTTGGAGGCTAAAACATATAAAGAATAGTTGCAGGAATTGGGAATGTCTAATTATGCCGCAGTCAATGCTCCTAATGGTGGGTGGAATAAATACACGAGAGAGGGAGAGGGCATGAGAAAGGGAGAGCGAAAGGTAAGACTGCAGAAAACTGCATCCAATTTTGGTCACCATATTATAAAAAAAGATATTGAAGCTCTTGAAAGATTGCAAAGAAGCGCAACAAAGATGATTAGAGGGCTGGAGGCTAAGAACAGTTGCAGGAATTGAGTTTGACTAGTCTAGTGAAAAGAAGGACTGTGTACTATCATTTTAGTTTGAATTAAATATTTTTTAATTTTACATTTAATGTAGTAATACCTAAAATGAGCATTTTTGTAAGGACATAAAATGTTAAATTAATCGTTGTAAAAATGCAAATCTTTGCATCAAAAAAGGTGGAGCTTCACATCAGTGGTGGGTGACACCATTAGTCAATGTGGGCTTGTACCACCATATATCTCTGAAGTAACACAGATATAGAGTATGCTGTTTACCAAGTAATTATTCCACTATACTGAAAAAATAGGTGAACCTGGTAGAAAGAACATTTTGGGGAGGCCATATTCTTGCAATGTCAAGAGTTCTGAGAAGTTTTGATGACCATACAGCTCAAAAGTGACTCTCAAGGGTTGATCTTCAGAATGCTGCTACCACAACTTTCTTCAGCCTTAGCCAGGAAAGAGAAGTCTAGGTGACACATGACAATACTTGGAGAATGACACTTCACAAGGTCCTCTCTTATAGAATGACAAAACCATATATATAAAAAAGACTTGCTTGTGGAAGATCTATCAACCTGGTTCCTGGGTGGTTTAGTCCTCTACTTTCTTCCCAGCCAGTCTGCAGAAGGCTCCCTTCACATCCCTGTTCCTCAGGCTGTAAATGATGGGGTTTAACATGGGGATCACAACTCCATAAAAGACTGCCACCACTTTTTCCCTATCAGAGAACGTCTTGGCTTGAGGCCTCAAATACATGGCCAAGATGGTGCCATAATATATGCTCACTACTGTGAGATGAGATCCACAGGTGGACAAGGCTTTCCTCCGACCTTGGGCCGAATGGATACACAAAATAGTGAATCCAATACGGCCATAGGTCACCAGGATAAAGAAGAAGGGGAATGCAAGGGTAATGGCACTGGTTATTATCATGTTAATTCCACTGGCACGGGTATCAGAGCAAGCCATTTTCAACACTGCCTGCAGTTCACACTTGAAATGATTCACCACATTTGGCCCACACAAAGTTGCCTGCATGCTGAAAAAGGGGACAATAGTAATAATGAAGGTGCTGGCCCACAGGCTCACAGCCAGCTGGATGCATACATTGCGACTCATGATCTGGTTGTAGCGCAGAGGGTAGCATATTGCCACAAAACGGTCATAAGCCATCACAGCTAACAAAACAGATTCAGTGATAGCTAATAAGCCACTTATGCTCATCTGAGCAAAACATCTACCCCATGGGATAGTAGGTCTGTCCATGAAGCAGTGGACCAGCATCTGTGGGACAGAAGTGGTGATATAGCTGATGTCAATAAAGGAGAGGTTGCTGAGGAAAAAATACATGGGTGTGTGGAGGTGAGAATCTATGATAATCAGCACCAATATGAGGCCATTGCTGGCTACAGCAATGAGATAGATAACCAAGAAGAGGACAAACAATCCAGCACGAACTTTGAAGTTTTTAGAGAGTCCAACAAGCACAAATTCGGTCACTGTGGTTGCATTTCCCCATTTTTCCATGTTTCCTGTAAGAGTGAAACAAATTTAAAGGTAAAGGTACTGTATGTTTTCCTGGAATTCTTTATAAATATTCCACACAAACATGAGGGTTAAGAATGGGAGAATTGCTTTTAAGAGAGGAAACTAGCTTTTGGAGGAAATGATTCAGGGATATATAGATACGTCAAGTACAGAATTCTTTTATATAATTCCTCTGTTCCACTGTAAGTCTTCATGTGAGCCATAGAGACCACAGCCCTCTAGATTTCCTATTCCCATACAGATATCTGCTTTTAGTTGATCCATTCTATCTAAGATTATAGAGCATCCTGGTAAGTTTTATTTGCATTATTTACTAGATGACAAAAATGATTAGCTGAAATATCACAAAGGATTTTTATTTAAGGAAATCATTTTTGTCCTCTAGCAAATTTGCACACAATGCAACAATCACAAAAGATTGTCACATTGTGTGCAAATTCCTTTCCAGATGCTGAAAAAATTTCAGTGAATGGGGTTTTTTGGGGGGGTACTTATTTTTTTAGGACATTGTCTGTGACCATAGTAGCCTTATTCCTTCTTTCATAGGTGTTTGAAAGATCAGGCAAAGATGATTCCCATACATTTGTATTACTATTGATACAATAGTGGTCAACTGTATAGATAACCCCACAAATATATGGGTGTTGCATCAATTGTTCTAATGGCTCCAGTGCCTAAGAGTGTGAATCACAGGGAATCACAGTATAACTGTAACATAACTGTAACAAACTGTTAAATAAAATAATTAGCACCAAGTCACACTAATGGTTCTACTGGCCATTCACAAGTGAATTTGCACACAATATACCAAAATTTGCTGCTTTTAAAAAGATAAAATTCATTTATCATATAACAATGAAATTAAAAGTTATCAGAATGTCCTGAATAAAGAAATAAAAAAGGCTAACAAATAACCCTATAAAACTGACCTTAGAAAAGAATGTGAAGAGCCATGCCCATTCTTCAAAAGGTATTTCCCGGTATTCAGCTGTGGAGATCACATTAAAATAAGCTAGAGTTAAAATTCTCCTGCATTTAATGACTGAAATTTGATATAAATATGAAGCTGATTTGTGAACTAAAATTGATTTCTAAACTATAATGTTTGATCTTCTATGTTTAAAATCTGTTGCTTTTATGCTGATTTAGCTTGATATAGTTCTAATAGTAAAATAGCATCTCTGAAAAAACCAGAGATGGATTGCCTTTTACTAGGAGATTTGATATTACCTGCCAGCATTAGCTGGCTGCTGGACCATCCAATAGGGTTGTGGAGAAGTTTTAACCAGCAAGTAAAAATATTTACCCAAAGATTAGATTCAAGTTTACTGAGTTTTGCTTTCCACCAAAGTACCACATTTACATGCAACAGGTAACCTAGAAAATGTTTCTCAACAACTGACTTTGGACATTCTCTGGGGTGGTTCTGTGGTTCTGGTTGAGCCCCCAAAACCCACTTTAGCTGCAAATAACTTAATTGTAGCAGATATAAAAACTTGGCTGAGTAATGTTGATCTCTGTTCATTTTGAGACATGGTACATAATTCAGGTGAGCATTTCAGCTTTCAGAAACTTGAAAAACTAGTCTACTTAAAGATTCTGATCATCGCAATGGTGTGTCCACCTAACTTCCAGATCTGCTGTTTCAGGCGTTTGGAGAAAGTAAGGATTTTGGTCTTGACAAAATATTCCTCCATATTTCAGTAGTTGATGAGAGACAGCAAGTTTCTTTTAAGACCAATAAACATAAAGATTAAAATTACTATAGTGCATCATCAGCATAGACTAATATATTGATATGCTTATGAGGTAGTTCAGGAAGATGGGAGACAGAATTACCTAAGAGCACTAGTGAATTTATACAATAAATTAAATATAATGGTGCCTTCCCTTTTAATCTGTTGTTCAGTGTTGATACTACAGTTTAGATCTAGATATTGCATAAAAAGCTATTCTAAAATCAAGAAAGGCTACACAAAGGGATGAACCACATACCTGTATATATGTTTCTACTCAATATTGTAACAGCACAGCATGTTTAGCATTGATCGACCTACCCTCCAGCATGTTCATCCCTCAAAGTGACCTCAAATTCAAGCCAGTCAAGAAATTTGGCTCATAAAATTATTTTGCTAATTTAACTTAATCAGCTAACTGGATGGAAGTCAGCAGGATTGTCTTGACTGCTTTTCTTGTATAGTCATAGCCAGGTCTCAGTTCTTAGAAAACTTAGCAGGGTGATTTATCACTGTTAAAAGTGAAGCCAACATTGGAGCCAATCAAGCCAAATTATGTTTTATTTGTACACTCATTTCACTTTTATATTTACGTAAACTCTCAGTTTGGTGGAACATTGCAAATTGGTAATTAGTAATAGTAGTAAAGTTGGAAGGGACCTTGGAGGTCATCTAGTCCAACCCCCTGCTCGGGCAGGAAACCCTACACCATTTCGGACAAATGGCTGTCCAGTCTCTTCTTAAAAACTTCCAGTGTTGGAGCATTTACTGCTTCTGGAGGCAAGCTGTTCCACTGCTCACTGTCAGGAAGTGTTCTAGGTTGCTTCTCTCCTTGATTAGTTTCCACAGGTGCTTTGGAAAATAGCTTAATTCCCTCTTCTTTATGGCAGCCCCTGAGATATTGGAATACTGCTATCATGTCCCCCCTTGTCCTTCTCTTCGTCATTTGGACTCTATTTCTTTCTGCATGGCAATAGCAGAGATGAACCCAAAGTGGATAAGCTGATGTTCTAGAATGGTACTTGACCCCTACATTTCAGTATGATCCCCAGATCCCTTTAAATTTGGTCTCCAATGCTAAATTCTCCAACAGGAAAATAAATATAATTATTTAATACATAGACAGTAATCATATTAACTATTAAATTAAGACCATTTAAATGCACTGAAATATAATTTTGTCTTAGCATCAGTAAGAATAGTCCCATCGTTTCTGCTTGCCCTGCTAGATCGATCAGCAACAGGATGCTCTGTGTCTCTTCCATCAAACAATGGGTCCATCTTGTTGGACCCAGCACTTGTGCCTTCTCTGTGTCAATGCATATCCTGTGGAAGAAGCCTCTCTCTAGAAACTCAAATGGCCCCAACCCTGTCAGATGTTGCAAAGCATTGAGGATCTGACTATTCTCGCAGGTGTTTGGCCAGAATGTTAGTCAAGCTCTTACTAGCTAATGCTGTTTTTTATAAGTTGAGATTATGTTTTGACTTGCGTGTTGTGGCTTGGATTGTTAAATTGTGTTAAATTGTTGTGCTAACTTTGTATGCCATGAAGAGTGGGCAGCCATATAAATAATATAAACTAACTAATTTTTGTGTTCTAGTCATCTTTAAGGTGTGGACTGTAGTCTCCAGCATTCCTTCCAACCTTCACATACCTCCATCCTGAAATGTTGTACGTACCTGACTTCCAGCTCTCAAAGTTTCTATATTTCTAAGGGAACAAATGTGATTTGTCCAAAAAATCCAAAGCCAAAGAACTAGCCCAGTGTTTCCATTGGTAGCTGAGGTATCACTGAAAACATGTGCTGCTCCTTCAACAGGACCATAATTTGTGATCTGAGATCAGCAGAAGGAAAATGGCAAGTTACAGTTTGAGTCTATCAAATAATTTCCCTTGAATCCTGATACCTAAATCCAACTAACCTATATGTCATCCTCTTTACATACTATCCAGTTGCATAAGGACGGTTTCTGAAAATTAATGATAAAATTCCTAAAACACTTCCCTAAAACAACAAATATTAATTGGTGTCACCTGGGAAAGGATAATTTCACTGTAGTAAGTCAGTGCTTGCTTAGATGAAAGTTGCAGTGTTGTTCCTCAAATGTTTATATTGTCTCTGGAGATATTCAGATTCATGATGTCATATCTGAAGATGTGAGCTGCCTTTGGGGGTTGGATAGTCACCCCCTGAGATTATTTACCAAAGAGAGCACGGAACAAATATTACAAGCAAATGCATCATTTGTGTACCAACCAAGTTACAAAAGATACTTTAAGAGTTTGTAAGTTTGTTTGAAGTACAAGGTGTGCTGGGGATGATGAGACTTCAAGTCAAGTCTAGTTCCTTTGTTGCAAAATTGGCTTGAATATAGTTGTATTAAAAGAAAGCACTGTTTTGCCTCTGTGTTAGAACTATGACTGAGAAATTATAGCCCTAAGGAAATGTGAAATCAGTATTGAAAGGAAAGTCAGATTTCAAGCAACTGTTGAGGAAACTTTAATCAGATCGCCATTGTTTAGAAAACACATTCCTATTAATTTTAAATTGCTGCTTGGTTTTGCATAAAACAGAATCCGATGTTAATCAGTAAAAGGCAAATTCATTCAAATGAATTAATTCATTCATTTGTCTCTTTGTTGGCATTTAAGCCCTATCGTAAGCCCTTCAGTCCTCCAAGAACTCAAGCCAAACTACATAATGCTACTCCAAGTTTTAGCCTCACAAGAGTTTTGTGTGTTATATCATAAATGCTACTAATAGCATGATATTTTTTAAAAAAGGATTAATGTGAATATGAATACTGAAGCACCATTCATATTAACAATATAAACAGCATAACATTAAAAATAGAAGAAAAAAAAATCAGGAATTTTTTACCTACTAAAGTAATTCAAGGGCATGTGACCAGATTACTCAAATGTCTTCTTCCTTGGCCCTCTGTTCAAAAAAAGACCATGTTAGATTTTTCAACATGCAAGATATATGAGTAATCAGCTGCTCCAAATAAGTTCTCTTTTACAATTGGTAATAATCAATATTTTGGATACTTACTGTTAAATCCTTCGTTCGCATGCGAATGATGAAGACACATGGTAACTGTTAACTACTCTTTATTCTCCTTCTCCAACAACCAAGCAAAAGACAAAGGGCACGCAGGCTTTTTTATATGGCCAGAAACCGGACAGTGTCAACCAATAGGAACAGAGCGTTTTTGCGCCTTGCGCATGCGCACAAGGCTGGCGCTGCTCTGTCTGGTCCTGGGCAGCTTTTGGAATGCCTGGGACCAATGCAACATCCCGAGCCTGCTTTTGCAGGCTCAGGACACAACATTTACCATGTATTCACCTCTCCAAAGGAAATTTACCTTAACCAGATTTTCTTGGATATTCTCTGACATGCCAACTTTATACAGAACTATATATTCTGTTGTGTTTACACATTGTGAGGCGAAAAAAGAGAAGTGCACACTTTGGAAAAGAAGGTATTAAAGGGCACTGTTTCAGGAACTACAAAAAGTAATGTTCAAGTTTGTACTCATTTCATCTACCCTCTTCAACTTATTTAAATTTTATTGATTTAGAATTTTCAATGACCTTTAACAAATATAAATTTCAAAATAACAAAATCTTCAGATCCAAAAAGTCTGGGCTAAAGGCAATAACAATTTCCAAAAGTCTTTGAGTGTGATTCATGATGAAAGAAGGACATGAGCTAAGTGTTTCTGGAATAGGTTGAAACCAAAAGCACTGTTGGCTCTGAAGAATTTTAGAAATCAATAGATTTAGAACATAGAACATCAGAAAGGACCCTGGAGGCTTTCTAGACCAGAGGTCCCCAACCTTTTGGGTATCAGGGACTGGTTACATGGAGAAAGGTTTTTCCGCAGACTGGAGGGGGCATGGTTTTGTGTGCTGCCTGCATCCTGAGGAGTGGGGCTTTCTTTGTATGTGCAGTCCAGTTGCTAGCATGCTGCAGCCCAATCCCATTGCACGGACTGGGAGTTGGGGACCCCTGTTCTAGCAGGAGACTGTATACCATTCCAGACAAATGACTGCCCAGTCTCTTCTTAAAAGTCTCCAGTGATCGAGCACACATAACTTTTGAAGGCAAGCTGTTCCATTGTTGATTGTTCTCACTGTCAAGAAATTTCTCCTTAAGTCTACATTGTTTCTCTTCTTGGTTAATTTCCATCTAATGCTTCTTGTCTTGCCTTCTGGTACTTTGGAAAATAATTTGTCCCCCTCTTCTTTGTGGCAGCCTCTCAAATATTGGAATAATGTTATCATGTCACCACTAGTCCTTCTTTTCACTAGACTAGACATACCCAATTCCTGCAACGGTTCATATAAAGAATGGTTTTGATAATACAAGTAAAATGTTTCTTCTGAAAAATAACAGTGCAGAGGCTTTTCTCTTCCTATGCTGAGGAACATATTTTATTCTATAGAAGATGGACCATTATCATATCCCATATAAGACTGTGCCATTAATTCATTTTTACTGCTATCCGCTGTTATGCTTCATTGCTGATGTTCTGTGTTTTCCCTAGACCAAAAGTTAACTGTTTGCTTCTAGTATATTTTCAACTTTAAAAATAGCAGCCTGTAAGGAAGTCCTCTCTGCTTCATTGATAAGCCTCTGATACCTCTGTCTGGATACTTCATTTCCATCCTACCAGTTCTTGTGATTTCTACTCTGCAATTTCTTCATTAAGATGAAATAATGTCATAGAGAACATATCAAAACTTAGCTTTGTTATGGTATATTTTTTATTTCTTGATTGTTTGGGGTTGACCAGTTACAAGCTAGGTGTTATGTTCATTAGCTAAGAAATAAAATGTGTGTATAGTATTAGGAATCACTTCTTACCAATGATATCTACCCATCCCATCAGGTTGGATGGGAGAAGCATGCTATGTGTACTGTCTGTAACAGACATAGGAAGTGAGGCTTTTCTGCTGTGGCCCCTGCAATTCTGGAATAGCACCCCTTCAATGGTGAGGTTATCCCCAACTTTTATAGCAAGCTGGAAAGCCCTTCAAATGACCTTTTTCCTCCAGGAAGTCTGGAGAACCCTTGGTAAAAGGGAGCCTGTGCATTGGCTGCATCGTATGCAATATTTTTAGATTATGTAGCCTTTATTGTCATTTTTTACTGGGGGCACATTGGCACACATTAAAAATGAAATTCTGTTGCTTGCTCTCAAGACTATACACATACATAACACATTCAAGCTTGCTAGTATATACAACGTATGTATAAATCTACACCCATACATATAAATATTAATCACTTCCCTCTCGTCTTGTTTTACATGGGTTGATTGTTTTTAATTGTTTGCAATTGGATCTGTAGAATATTTTATTTGTAGGTTTTATTGTACACCACTCTGTGTGAAATGGATGGCCAAATAAATTTGTCCAAGCAAACAAACAAACAAATATTGATCTAATGACAAATGCATAATGCTATATGAAGTGACCACCTTTGCCACGTATCCTGGATAAGCCAGAACAATCCTGGGTTTCAACAGGTCTTCTTGCCCAGAAATCATCTTTACATTTAACTAAAGTTAGGGAAGTGATAGCTGCCTGTCAGGGACGAAAGACGGGAAGTGAGACTCAAAAAATGCAAGCTATATCTTAAATTGCATCTCTTGTTTTTTGAGGGGACCAATTTCTTTTACAAAACGTAACTCTATGCTCAAATGCTATGTAGGGCAACATAGCTCTTCTTTTCCATTTTAGGTTATAATGTCTATAGTAGAGGAATAGAAACAGCAGGGAAAATTTTGGGGGGAGATTGGTTAGTCCCAAAGATTGCATGAAGAAAGCTCTAATAAATCAGAACAACATATCCACCTTAAGTAGCAGACCCATATATAACTTGCACAAGTAATTCAAAATTTATTTAACAGGATGGTGGTATGAACACAAAGTATGAGATACAATCAGTAGTTTCCCTTTAAAGCAGTGCATCAACCAAGCTGTTCCTCTGTATTTAATTACATAGTGGCTGTTTATTAAATAAACAAAGAAATATTTCTGCATTTATATTCCATTTTAGTTCACTCTTACTTAGGTATACTGTTTAGAATTTTTTTTTTATTATCTTCTTAAGACCTCTGTGACTTTTTAGGAAATAAGGTTCCATGTAATAAAAATTCTTTAAAACGGCATACTTCTTCCTAGTCCCCCCCCACAGATCTCTTATTTTTACGGACACCTTCTAAGAAAGAAAATGCCCAGTTACCTCTTTATTTGCAACGGGATCAGAATCATAGGACACTTTTCCTTGGTCAGACAATAACTGAAGTTGTTGGGGTGGGGGGCAGATATTAAACTACTAACAATATACTAACATTGTTGCTGCATTATATGTATACACGTATATGCGTATAAATATACACATACACACATATAAACATTAATACAATGAATAAACTGTAATAGAAGCAAAGGACAAAGAAGGAAAGGAAGAAAGAAGAAAGAGAAAGGAAAAAGTGCAAAAAGAGAGAAACAAAATAAATAGAGGCTTCCACTTTCTTCTGCTGCAAATATAAGTACAACTACAATATTAACTATGAATACAGAAAAACTCACTTATTTCCATTATCCATTTTTTTCCAGTCATCAAAAGCATTTTTTTTCTGTTTCATGCAAAAGATCCAGCAGAGGTTTCTAGGCAGTTAAAGATATATTGTTTTTTCTCTAATCAAAGATTAATTTAGCCACCTCTACAAGTTCCATCACCTTCACCAGCCATTCTTCCTTTGTGGGTAGGGTCAATTCTTCCCCCTTTGAGTTTATAATGGTATTGCTGCAGTTATCATACATAAAAACAAAATTCCATGATTTTTTTTTAGTTGCCTGTATTAATCCCAAAAGAAACATGTCTGGTTTTATTTGTACTGTAACCTTTAAGATCTTCTGTGATTAATCCAGCTGCACCCAGTTTCTTGAAGGTTGATCTTGTACTGATCTTATCTATTCTTTTTCTGGAAATATTGTATCATAATTATAGGATGATATTTTATATTTTTTCTCCCTGCTTCAAATTATATTGATCATGAGCATATCTGTAATATTAAATTATGCACAGTAGCATTCAGCTCAATTCTTCAATGATTTCTTACTCATCAGCTTTAGCTAGCATGGACAAAGGGGGATAGAGGTGGTATATGACAATACTTGGAGAATGACACTTCACAAGGTCCTCAATTATAGAATGACAAAACCATATATATAAAAAAGACTTGCTTGTGGAAGATCTATCAACCTGGTTCCTGGGTGGTTTAGTCCTCTACTTTCTTCCCAGCCAGTCTGCAGAAGGCTCCCTTCACATCTCTGTTCCTCAGGCTGTAAATGATGGGGTTTAACATGGGGATCACAACTCCATAAAAGACTGCCACCACTTTTTCCCTATCAGAGAACATCTTGGCTTGAGGCCTCAAATACATGGCCAAGATGGTGCCATAATATATACTCACTACCGTGAGATGAGATCCACAGGTGGACAAGGCTTTCCTCCGACCTTGGGCCGAATGAATATGCAAAACAGTAAATCCAATACGGCCATAGGTCACCAGGATAAAGAAGAAGGGGAATGCTAGGGTAAAGACACTGGTTATCATCATGGTAATTCCATTAGCATGGGTGTCAGAGCAAGCCAGTTTCAAAACTGCCTGCAGTTCACACTTGAAATGATTCACCACATTTGGCCCACACAAAGTTGCCTGCATGGTGAAAAAGGGTATAATAGTCAAAAGGACAGCGCTGACCCACACACTCACAGCCAGCTGGATGCATAAATTGCGACTCATGATCTGGTTGTAGCGCAGAGGGTAACATATTGCCACAAAACGGTCATAAGCCATCACAGCTAACAAAAGACACTCCACCACAGCTAAAATGAGAGCACTACACATCTGAGCAAAACATCTACCCCATGGGATAGTAGGTCTGTCCATGAAGCAGTGGACCAGCATCTGTGGGACAGAGGTGGTGATATAGCTGATGTCAATAAAGGAGAGGTTGCTGAGGAAAAAATACATGGGTGTGTGGAGGTGAGAATCTATGATAATCAGCACCAATATGAGGCCATTGCTGGCTACAGCAATGAGATAGATAACCAAGAAGAGGACAAACAATCCAGCACGAACTTTGAAGTTTTTAGAGAGTCCAACAAGCACAAATTCGGTCACTGTGGTTGCATTTCCCCATTTTTCCATGTTTCCTGTAAGAGTGAAATCAGTTTTCAGAACATAATAAAACGAGTGGGCTTCTGATTAAATGATGAACACAAACAGGGGTTTATAAGAATGGAAGAGCTGCTTTTAAGAGAAGAAGCTAACTTTGGGAAGCTATGATTCAGAGAAAAATATGATAGGGAGGGAAGAATTGGACATGCAAGCCTTCTAGAGATTTTCTCCCTCCATTCAAATCTGTCTGAAATATTTTTCTTGCTCCTTTTTAAATAGAAGCCCATGCTTTTTTTATTTCACAACACTTTGACTTTTATATTTAAGGAGACCCCCCCCCCAGATAATTGAAAGAAGGCAAAATGGTATCAAGCAACTGTCATCCATGTGTGGACCAGCTGAGATTTCCCTAAAGTTTTAGCAGTGCCACCAGAGCTCTTTAAATTTTGCTTCCAAAACCATATTTTTCAATAATGTATGGTAAAATTATTTAGAACATAGTAAAGAACCATGGTACTTAGTGCAATTTAAATAAAATAGACAAATCCATTTTATTTCTTTTCTTTAGTTTATTCATTTGCTTTATTTACAGTGATTCATTCATATACTATTTCATTGTAGTATATATAAACCTTTAAGAAAACCTCTATAAGTAGCATTGTTTTCACTTTGTTGAATTTTAGAATCACAAATAAAATCTCTTTTTCACATTCCTTTTCTCCCTAAGATTTAATGAATTCCAAAAAGGTCTCACATACCCCTTATAATTAATCTTGTTGATCAATAGGTAGCTTCTTATTCTCATATTTTCCTTTTTTTATCCTGATAACCTAAATGCCCTAAAGGCAGACTTACAAAACAAATATTAATAAAGCAAGTACAATGGAAGTATTAATATAATACTAATATACTATTAAGATAATAACACTTTGGGGATCAATTTTGAATTATAAAATCCTGGGGAGGTGGAACACAAACATCTTTTTACAATTTTTCCCTTTAATATTAGCAGTTTTGTTGCTATATATTTTAAACTTTTATTTCTTAATATATATTCCAAGATTCAAGAGATTCAATTCCTAAATCAATAACAACTCTGAAAATTGTCTTAATGAACACCTGTTAACTTACCACAAATATAGAAAAAAGTAAACATCAAAAAAGAAATGCTCTTAATATCTACTTCATTACTCTTCTCTGATTCATATAATTATTTTTTAAAAAATTCAGCATACATTACTACCTTTCAGAAAGTCCTTCCAGCGTGATAGGATATATCCTGAAAATGATTGGTTTTTGTACAGATTCTATCTGCCAAGTGCTATCCACTGACATCATCTGGGAAAAGATCAGCTCACTGTAGTAATTTAACACTTCAAATAAAAGTTGTCACTTTGTTCCTCAAACATTTATACTGTCTCTGGAGATTTTTAAATTCAAGACATTATATCTGAAGATGTGACTTGGGGACTTGGATGGCTGACCTTCAGAGATTCTTCAGAGGTTCTTCAAATATTCTTCAGAGATTCTTCACCAAAGAGAGCACAGAGGAAACTTTACAAGCATATACATCAACATTTTGTATCTGCAGGGTTTACTCAGTGCAAGAGTTATCCTACTTGGAATAATGGATTAAAGATAATGGAGTCACAGTCAAAGCTATCTTGAGGGTACCAAATTAGTGAAAGCTAAAAAGTACAAGATACTGATATCAAACATAGAAGATTGTGGCATCAAAACACTGCTTTTGCCTGTTGTGTTTACCTAGAAAATAGAATTAACACCCAAAATTGCAGCTGCAGCTGCAAGCAAAATTATAAAACCAATTAGAAGATTTTCAAAGAACCTTCAAAAAAAGAGCAATGAGGCTAATGAATTGTACAAGATACAGTAGGTGCACTTTTTCCAATAATTTTATTTTATGAAAAAGAATAATCCCATCTCACTCAGGAAAACATACATTCATTTCTCTGTTAAAATACCAATCTTGCCAATCTCCCAGTGGGTCAAGGCAAAATGCATAGATATGCATCAACTATACCTTCACAACAACCTCAGCAGGTGTGTTTAACTAAGATTATTTTTGCTTTAAGAAAGAAACTGCATAGTACATTGTCATTTATCCTAAGTCAAAAAAAAAAAAAATCAAGGAGATTTGATTGAGGAATTCTGGAAGTTGAAGTCCACACATCTTAAACTTGCCAAGATTGAAAAGCTTGGATCTACAGCAGCCAAAACCCAGAAGGCATCTGGCAGCACTTTTTCAGATTAACACGTTTTACTAAAAAGGATAAGCTGTCACAAACTATAGCTTTGTTTAACAAATATTATTGAAAGGGTTATTCAATATAATAACCACTTAGCCACTTACATACATACATACATACATACATACATACATGTATGTATGTATGTACATTTTTCTCACACAAATGGGGATACATGGAGAAAAATGAAATAATGGTCATGATGAAATCATAGCCCAGAAGCTGATCATTAGATTTATGTATATTGTCCACTTTAAAACTATATTAGAGGTGGCTACAGAGGGTCATATGCCATGACAGCCAGCAAAAGAAACTCAGGTCCTAACATACACACACAAAATAGTAATATTAGTTTGCCCATAACACTAGCACAGTAGAATGATTGGCCTATTTGTGAAGCAGTGTCCAGTTCATGGGTGACCATTGGTGGTAATACAGCAGATGTTGATGGAAAGATTGCTGAGGAAATATAGTGAGTATAAAACCATAGGTCTTCTAGTCCAAACTCTTGCTCAAGTCAGGAGTCCTTATACCACCCCAAACAAATGTGCGTCCAATCTATTCTTGAAAACCTCCAGTAATGGAGCAGCCACAACTCTGGAAGGCAAGCTGTTCCATTGGTTAATTGGTCTCACTGTCAGGGAATTCCTCCTTAGTTCCATGTTGGATCTCCCTCCGATGAGCTTCCACTCATTGCTTCTTGTCCTGCCCTCAGGTGCTATAGAGAATAATTTATTCCCCTCTTTCCTGTGACAGTCCTTCAAATATTAGAAAATGGCTATCATATCACCCTTAATCTTTTTTCTTAGGCTAAACCTTCCTAGTTCCATTAGCCATTCATCATATGATTTATCCTCCAAACTCTTTATCCCCTTTGTTTCTTTTCTCTGCATTCTTTCTAGAGCCTCAGCATCTTTTTTGTGTCATGCTGATCAGAATTGGATGCAGTATTCCAAGTGTGGCCTCTTTAGTGCAGTATAGAGTGGTACTATCACTTTCCATGATCTTGGTGCCTAGGACTGCATTGGCTTTTTTTGGTAGCTGCAGCACACTGCTGACTCCTACTTAAGCAGTGGTCCACCAGTACTCCTATATTCCTCTCATAGGTACTACTATTGAGCCAGAACTCCATATTCTATACCTGTGCACTTGGTTTTTCTTATCTAAGTGCAGGAGCTTACTTTTCTCACCACTGAATTGCATCTTGTTGGAAAGGGCTCATTCCTCATGTCTGTCAAGATTCTTCTGAGTCTTGAGTCTGTCTTCTAAAGTGTTAGCAACTCTCCCTCACCTGGTGTCATCTGCAAATTTAGTGATTGTCCCTTCCATCCCCTCCTCTAGCTCATTTATGAAGATGTTGAAGAACTCTGAGCCCAAGACAGAACCTTGAGGTACCGCAATAAACCAGTACAATCACCATGTAAGAAGACAAACATTGTAGCCTGAACTTCAAATCAACTGAACAAATCCACAAGCACAATTTAGTTATATTATTATTCTATCTTATTGTATTTTGAATAATAGAAAATCACATTAAGATTGCACTCTGTCTTAGTTATAGTTCTCATCTGTTCAAAGTTTCCCTAAGAATTTTGTTAGGAATTTAAGGTTGGGGGTAACACACGAAAGGTAAAACAAGTAATTCATATTAACACTACCTCTATTAAGAATCAAAATAAGTATTTTTTTGAAATGTTGGTACAGTAGCAAATAAAAAGAAAAAAATGTACCAAAATGCCAATATCAGTAGGGTATATGTTTAGTTCTTTAATTGCATTATAGTTCACAAGTAGGAGGAGTACCTCAAAATAGAAAATAAGACTTATTAGATCTTTAGAAAGATTTTTTTCACAGAATAAAGAATAGATTTTATGGAAACATTTAAATTAATAAGCATATAGAAACTTCATGCAAGAATACCATGTTGTTGCTTTGATTCCATTGAGACCATATCCCATGATTACAATTAGTTGAAGTAAAACAACATTAGTCATGTTAACTTCTTTAGAACTTGAAATAAAGTAAAATCAATATGACTACAAACTCATTAAAGGCCATTCAGTAGCCTAGCTCACACTTAAGCCAAGATAATATTTATTATCTTTTTTATTTGAATTATACTTGGTCAAACCAGGGTTTAGTGTAAAGTGGGAATCATAAATAATCCTGTTGTTTCCCATGTACTACCAGTAATGTATAAATGAGTTATAGACAATCCTTGTTAAGTGACCACAACAAGGCCCAGCAACTTGATCATTGAGTGAAGAAGTCACTAAGTGAACCTGTGACTGCACTTAGGATCTTACTTCATCTTTTCCTTGCTCAATAAACCTGTCACTGTTGTAACGACACTGATGTAACTGTAAGTGTAGTTGCTAAATGAGGCAGTCACTAAAGGAAGACTACCAGTACTAAAAACTACATCAGCTACTATTATAGCAATATATGCATATTCAGGAAATAGAATGGTCATAATCAAATCTTATTGTGTGGTGAGATTATTGCAAAGAGACTTGTCCCGTTCTTGGTAGTTTTTCCTCAAGACTAGGAAAGCTGTTGTTTATTACATCTGGCTGCTTCACAGCTATTTTATGTTTTTTATAGTTTTGCTTTCTGTTTTTTATTTATTTTGTTATGTTTATAATAAAGCATGTAATATGCAGCAAACATAGCTAATATTCTTTCTCTTCCTATTTTCCCCAAAACAACTCTGTGAGGGGAGTTGGGCTGAGAGAGAGTGACTGTCCCGGAGTCTCCCAGCCAGCTTTCATGTCTAAGGTGGAACTACCACAAAACTCCCAATCTCCTATTTTAATTGTTAGCTGCCTGGAGCGATGTATTTGAGATGACTGGTCACATACATTTAATAAATAAATAAATGGTCATCCTCAAATGCAATTTTTCTACAAACTTTCTCAAGAAGGAAAATGGGGGCAGGTCAAAAACCATCTAAAACTGGTTGGTGTAATAATAGTCTATTGAGGAGGAGACACACCACCCCCTCCTTTATGGAAAGAGGGACAACACCCACACTGAATAATGAATTAACCACTGCTTTGACCAAGTAGGAAGGGCAAGGACCTAATGAGTTAGTCACAGCACTAACACTGCCAAAGAACATCTTTATTTTTTTGAGACTCAGAGTCTCAAACTCTTCCTGATAGGACAACATTCTTCCTCAGTCAATTCTATAAGACTTCCCCAGCCAGAGTCCAGCTGGGTGACTTAATCCAGTGCTATACCGCTTGTTAGCCAGTAGACTCCACTTCTGCTGCCTATCGTGCCTTGTAAACCTCCCTTGCTGCGATTTTCAGCACATCAGTCCAGCTGCTGCCACTGCCAAGCAACTGCTATGCCAGCCATCTCTCCTAAGAGACTATCAAGGCTTGCTACTCTGTGCCTTTGGTACCCTGGGCTTCATACCCCTTGATGTTCCTACTCACTACCAGCAAGGGACTGCCAGCTCTTCATTATCTGTTGCTTTTTCTCCGTCACTTCTGCATTTATTTGCTCCTGACATAGCTCCAGATCTCTCATCACCTCTGCTCAAATTTTTCAGCCACAACAGGCCACCTACAACAGTTGCTCATTACAAACCCCATTTTTGATTGCTTCTGATTTTTCCAACTATCAGTGTCTCCAAAGGTCATCAGCATGGTCTCTGTACTGTCTCTTCCTTGCCCAGTATTGATTCTGCTTAAAATTCTGTTAAGCAGAATTCTGTTATAATGATATATACGTAGAGAGATTTGTAAGATATTTTTAATTCTGTGAATTATACCCATCTCAGTGCTGCTAATGCATATGAAAATAGAGGTGTTTGTAAAGACAACAAATAGGCCTTCTGCCTTAAAAGCAAAGTGTATGTGATTTTCCACAGAGTTCATTTAGAATCCAATCCTTGAATCAGTTCTGGGCCAGCCAGTCTTACTATAGGTGGACCATCAGCAGTAACGGAACTTTGTCAGCAATCAGGGAGTAGCTGGGAGCAAAATAGTTATCTTTTCTAACTACAAATGTGGAGAGCTTTTTTTGGTCAGGGATGAGGAACACATCACATAACTTTTTTTCTCCATGAACCTATTTTTGAAAACATCTCCTATAATAAACACTAACACCTCACCTTACTTTTCCCATTCATAAAGTATTTCATTTGTGACTGACACTTCTGCCCAAATGCCAATGCTTTTATCCTCTGCCAGCATTCTGAAGCAAAGGGAGATTTCTGATCCAGATCTGTTTGTATTGACTTTCGAATTCAACATCCTTGGTGTCGTGGTAAGGTAAAGTAAGAGCTGATGATGCTACCTGGATTTATTTTCTGAAATGTTCCAAGTAGCTTAGATTGCTCTCTCTCTCTCTCTCTCTCTCTCTCTCTCTCTCTCTCTCTCTCTCTCTCTCTCTCCTCTTCCTCCATCATTCTCTCTGTATCTGCCTGCCTGCCCCCCCCCCTCTCTCTCTCTCTCTGTGTGTCTGTTAAGCTCTTAAGTTCACCACATTAGGTATTGGGGCTGTGTGTAGAGTAGATAGCTTTGAGTCTCCCATAGATCACCTTGTGCATTGTAGAAAGTAAAATAATCCCCTTCTGTTTTTATTGTAAATGTTTTCCATCTAAAAGAGATGGATTGGGGTTCCTGATATTGGATATATTTGACTGTTGTAAAATGCAATAGATTGTGCCTAGCATGTCCTTTTCTGATTCAGGAGAGCTCTATTATATTCTGGATTCATTTTTCCCCCTCTGACCCCAGAATAGAGGGACAATACTTTCCTGTCACCTGCGATATTTTTTTTCCAGTAATATAGATTTGTAATTTAACTATTTCTATAGTTGTTTTTTTTTAAAAAAATAGAAGTTGAGTGTCAGAGTATATGCAGTCATTTGCAATCAAAAATTTCAATAAAGCATTACAAACACTGTACAAATACATATAAATTGTGGGAATTGTGCTTATTCTGTAATTTTCTGAAAATGTGGATTTAAAAAGGAAAATTTACAATCCCTAAATTTTAATAAAACTGGGAAAGTTTCAAACTAAGTTGAAAGGCTGAACAAAAGTTTCAATTGGTCATTTCCATTTTGTAAGAATTTTGAGAGTAATTTCTCTATTTTACATCACATAAAGTTGTTACAAGAAAGAAAAAAAATAAATTAGACTTAAACATTGCTAATTCCATGCTGTTTTGAGATAATTGAAATGACTGGGCTGAAATTCCAGGCACAGGTAGATATATATGATATATCTAATTGAACATACTTGTTGACAGTCTGCATTGATTCCTTCACTATTATTCTTTTCATAAAAATCTTATTTGCTTTTTCATTAAAAATTTCTAACTTTCAAAATGCATGAATGTTTTTTTTATTGAAATTTTTATAAACGTTTTACAATAAACTACCTCCCCCCCTCCCACCCCCCATAACCCTCCCCCCTCCTTCCCAGAGCTGAATACAGGGTTAAAAAAAAAACAAAAAACATACAAATTAAATGAACATCAATCAACTATACATACATCCAAAAAGATTAAAAATACTTTAACTCCAATACATTAAAAACAACAAATCTAACCATAGCTACTTTAAACTATAAATTATTCAAAGGCTAAATAATACTTTCTAATCCCATATTTATTCTGTACAAAATTTACCCATCTTTTCCACACAGAATTATATCTCTCTTGTGAATGGTCTTTCAGATAAGCCGAAATTTTAGCCATTTCTGATAAGTAAGAAACTTTAAGAAACCATTCCTCTAAACTAGGCAAGGAATCTTTCTTCCAATATTGCCCAATCAATAACCTTGCCACCGTAATAAAATTCAACATTAAGATAATCTCTTTACCATCACAGTCTTCAATAATACCTAACAAAAATAATTGTGGTGTAAATTTTATCCTTCTATTAAAAATTTTCTGAATGTTCCACCAAATCTTAATCCAAAAAGCCTTTATATTTCTACATGACCACCAAATATGATAGTACGTTGCATCCAAACAACCACATCTCCAACATAAAATGCATGAATGTTTTTGAAGCACCTAGAACTAAGGAGAACTTTCCTGACAGTTAGAACAATTAATCAGTGGAATCACTTGCCTCCAGAAGTTGTGGATGCTCTGACACTGGAGGTATTTAAGAAGAGATTGGACAACCATTTGTCTGAAATGTTATAGGGTTTTCTGCATGAGCAGGGGGTAGGACTAGAAGACCTCCAAGATCCCTTCCAATTCTGTTAAAATGTAAACAGACTTAAGGACTCTTAAGGACAAGAAAATAATACTATTGAACAATATTTAAAGTAGCATTCAGTAGGTTATCATCTATTTAAGGCTTACCTTTTTTCTGGAATTGCTAAATATTGAATTAATATTTTGAAACTTGATATGTAGAATGATCCTGATGAATTATAATTCATAGCCCAAATATGCTATTAAAAAAGGAGGAGGGGGATAAGTAAGGAAAAATTGTTACCTAATTTGGGAGTTTGGCTTTTCTACTAAATATAGCACCATATAATTGTTCAGATTTGTCTTAATAAGCAGAATTGTCTATCTTCATTTACTGCTTGAATGTAAGACCAATTGAGACTGAAATGCTGAAATTCACCAATTTTATTAATCAATACACCATCAGTTTCTATTGAATAAAGTAGGATTTCTTTCAGGGGTTGAAATTAAGTCTTATATTGAGGATCTTATTAGACATATCCACCATAGGAGTTAACTTGTTTTACTCCCTCTCACGTATTAACAGAAATATCTTTAACCTGCCACTTCTAACAATTTATTCCTTCTTCCATACAGGAAAGAAGAGGTATATAATATTGTTATGGCATCTACCAATGAAACAGTAGTAACAGAATTCATCTTAATTGGATTATCTGACCAACCCAGAGCCCAGATTATCTTCTTTTGGCTCCTGTTGATGGTGTACCTCATTAGTTTTGTTGGCAATGGTCTCATCATCACATTAATTATTATGGACTCCCAGCTTCATACTCCTATGTATTTTTTTATTTGTGTACTCTCCTTGATAGACTTCATTCTCATCAACAATGTAGTTCCCGAGGTTCTCATCAACTGCTTCATTTACAGGCCCACTATTTCGTTCTCCAGATGTTTGTCTCAAATGTATCTGGGTCTATTACTTGTCTCAACAGAGTGTGTTGTCCTTGCTGTCATGGCTTATGATCGTTTTGCAGCTATATGCAAACCCTTACACTACATGCAGATCATGAGTTGGAGATTATGTATTTGTCTGATGGCTATGTCTGTAGGCTTTCCTTCCCTGACAACCCTTACCAATGCACTATTGCGACCCACTAACTTTTGTGGTCAATATGTCATCAATCATTTTGTATGTGAATTGCAGTCTTTCCTTAAACTGGCTTGCTCTGACACACAGATTAGTGAGATCTTCATGCAAATTGCCACCTTCACTCTTGTAATCCCACCATTTGGCTTCATAGCCATGACTTATGGGAAAATAGGTCATGCTGTATTGCGTATCCATTCATCCCATGGTCGCAGGAAGGCCTTCTCTACATGTAGCTCCCATCTTGCTGTAGTCAGTATGTTTTATGGGACAATTATGATCATGTACTTGATGCCTCAAGGAAAAACTATTTCTGACAAGGAAAAGATCCTATCTGTAGTCTATGGAGTTCTGACTCCTATGCTGAATCCTATAATTTATAGCCTGAAAAACAAGGATGTGAAGGGAGCTTTTTGGAAACTGATCAGACAAAATATGACAGGATAGATTGAAGGCCGCTGTATCATACAATGCAGAGGCAATAGCATTTACCAACTGTTTGTAAAGATTATTTCCTTCCACCTTCTTTGTATGGTCATTTCAAGCAAGATACACTTCCTAATAGCAATCGGGTCTAATTAAAAAATGTGTGTGTTCCTTATGTGTGTTAGAAAGATTTGTGACAATCAGACATCAACAATTTTCTTAGGCTAAAAGCCATTTTCTCCATCATAGGCAAAATAGATATCAGATGGCTGTGGTAATTGTTTCCTGTTCATGAGTACTGCAAAACTGATGTCGAAGAATTGTGTCCTTGAATTAGGCTTTTCTCAATGATTTTGGATCTGTTTCAGTTTTTTGTTGGAGGTTGAGGACATTTTCTCTTAGTTATCAGCAACACCACAAATGGTCTAATAGTGGAGATGACTAAACAGATTGATATGAACCATATGAACCGTTAAACAGACTGGTGAACCATGAAGTTAGGAAACTAATTGTGGTCAGTCAGAGATGTCATCAAAGATCTTCATTCTAGAATATTTATTATCCCAATTATTTCTGAACACATTTTTTCATGAAATAGAAATGGAAAATAGCAGCAAACAAATTGACCTTGTATATACCATGAGATGCATCTGATTGGAAAGGACAGGAAATAGTTAATTCTACCTCTTCCACCAAGGACCAAGGCCTTAGACATTGAATTCTGGAGGAGGAATGCCTCCCTCTTTACTCATCCTGGGTTGAATCCATATTAGAATTATCCATACATGTTCACATCTTTACTAATTCTAAAACTTAATAAATAAATATACAGTACATTCCCACAGTAAATGACTTGAGCAATAAAAAAAGCATCTGACAAAACAGGAAAGGACTATAATATTAACCACCATCCCTAATACCTGCTAGGGATTTTCAAGCCATTTTCTACATTCTGTGACTAGAATGATACCTTACAGTAAGGTTAAAAACTGCAGGATTGAGTTCCTACAGATAGCCTCTGTTGAAGTAAATTTATCAACCTGGTAATGTCCATAAATCTAGTTGCCTCATTCTGAACTGCTACTATGTAATTGTCTTCTAGCAATATACTCAACTGCTACTCAAACTAATGACCATTTTAATAAACAATGTGATATATGTCCCTGTGGATTGTACATAGTATGTAGTATCAGAGCATTTCCACCTACAAGATGCACAAAGTGATAATTTCTGAATTTACATGAAAATGTGTCAGGCTATCTTAAATGAACTCAAAGAAACATACTGGGGTTTTAATATACTACAATTGTTGATAAATCCCTGTAATTGATCTTATATGAATCTACATATATCTACATATTCAATCTGTCAACCTCTCCCTTCCCTCCTGCCTCATGCTAAGTGCTAAGCTTTGATGTCACCTCTCTCCAAAAAACACTGCAGAAAGTTAACATTCAGAAAGCAGCAGGCCCAGATAACATCCCTGGATGTGTCCTCAGGGAATGCACAGAGGAGCTGGCTTGTATTCTCACAGATATTTTCAATCTCTCATTGCAGCAGGCAGTGGTCCCATCGTGTTTTAAGATGGCCATCATCTTGCCAGTGCCAAAAAAGTCTACAATTACAGGCCTCAATGATTACCAACTGGTTGCACTGACATCCACCATTATGAAATGCTTTGAGAAGCTAATAAAGGACATTATTGTATCTAGCCTCCTGCCATTTGACCCACTTCAGATTGCCTACCGACCAAATCGCTCTTTGGAGGATGCTATTTCTTCCATTCTCCATCTGAGCTTGAAGCACTTAGAGGAAAGAAATACTCATGTGCGTTTGTTGTTTGTTGACTTCAGTTCGGCATTTAACACAATCATTCCCCAGCATCTAGTAGACAAACTGGGCCTTTTAGGCATAAACACTCCTTTGTGCAACTGGATTCTTGATTTTCTTACCAACAGACCCCAATATGTGCGAGTTGGAACAAATACTTCTAATACCATTTTCTTGAACCCAGGTTCTCCTCAGGGCTGTATCTTAAGTCTGCTGCTGTTCACCCTGTTGACCCATGACTGTTGTGCTAGGTTTGCCACCAACCATATTGTGAAGTTCACAGATGATACAACAGTAGTGGGCCTTATTCATGATGATAAGGTGGAAGCTTACCGCAAGGAGGTTGAGGGGTTGGTGAACTGGTGTAAGGAAAACAGCCTAGTTTTAAATATTGGAAAAACCAAAGAGATCATTGTCGATTTCAGAAAAGGCAGGCACAGCCACACTTCTCTGTGCATTAATGATTCACCTGTGGAGATGGTTACCAGCATCAAATTCCTGGGTGTGCAGCTAACAAGTAGGCTGGTTGGTCGCTCAACAGTGAGAAACTGGTGAAGTGGGGTCAGCAGCACCTGCATTTTCTATATCGCATGAGAAAATCACATCTTCCTTCCCCTGTCCTGACCACTTTCTACAGGGGGATGATTGAGAGCATCCTGTCATACAGCATCACAGTCTGGTTTGGAAGCATCACTGCTTCAGACAGGAAGGCAGTGCAGAGAGTGGTGAGAATGGCTGAAAAGATCATTGGCAGTTCCCTCCCTCCCATCTAGGACATAGCACAGAAGTGCTGCTTGAGCAGGGTCCGTAAGATTATCTGGGACACTACACATCCTCTTCATGAGCTGCTTTCCTTGTTACCTCTCAAGCTTCCTTCTTCCATTATATATTCAAGATGGACAGTATTTAATATTTATTTGCTATGTATATGTAGCAGTGTGGATCTATACATATGTTGTACATAGTATGTTTAGGTGTGTGTCATGTATGTGTTTCACTTTGAGAGCGGGCAACTAAATTTCATTTTTATTTGTGCCGTTGTGCCCACAATAAAAAAATGACAATAAACGTTATCTTGCCTTGCCTTGCCTTGCCTTGCCTTGCCTTATCTTATCTTATCTTATCTTATCTTATCTTATCTTATCTTATCTTATCTTATCTTATTAAACATATAGTAATTGTTTAATCTGCAACACAATTAATTACAGGTAGTCCTTGACTTATGACTGCTTGTTCAGTGAGCATTTAAAATTATGGCAATGAACATTATGGCCCCTGCCCAAAGTTACAGCCTCTGCAGCACTCTCACATTCACATAAACAAAATTCTGGCTCTTGGCAAACTGCCCACTCTTACAACCGCAGGAATGTTGCAGTGGTCTCTCCCTACCCATCTACCACCGTCCCTTCAGGCCTTGGACCAGCTTCCCATCCTCTTCCTCATTCCTGTCATAGATCAGTCACTTACATTTTTGATAGATCTTTGGGAAGTAGCCACTCCACTGCACAGCCTTCCTATACCATAGAGGTAGTGTGGCATTATCTTGGAAGTGGGCACCATTTTAGGAGTGGCCATTATGAAATCTAGACACTCTGAAATAGCATTGGCTTCTGGGACAGCATCCTACAGCCTTCAGGGAGGCTGAGGAGTGGAGTGGACTGCTCTCCTTGTCAAACATGATATCTACCCTATCTATCTCATCTGTTCATTTGTCATCCACCTTGCTGTTGTGTGACTCTAAACAGCTTACAGTCTGATAAAACTATACTATAAAAGAAAAAAACTGTAAAGACTAAATACATTAAAATTAACAAGCGATAGTTAAAATAGCATGGGTTATACCATAGAACAGAGGTGAGACCTTTCATTTAATCCAGTAACTACCTCCAGGATGGCATGCCCTTATCCGGGCAGAGCCAGGTTTTAAGGCCTTTATGGAGGGCTAAGAGGACAGGGGCATGTACATCCAGAGGGTGGGAGCCATGGTAGAAAAGGCTCTTCTTTCTGCTAAAACTCTATCAACTCTGGGCCCAATGACCTTGGATTCTCATGGCTGTGTTATTATCATTATGACTAGCTGGACTCTCATCCACGTTCCTCCTCCCAGCATCAACTAACCCTAAAAGCAATAGAGAAAAATGGCTGCATTTCCATCAGTTGTCAAAGCAAGAACAATCAATGTTAGCAGCGTTGACTGATATGCATGGCTTACTTACTTATATACAAGGCATTTTCCCAAGGATAAATTAACTTGCAAAACATTTAAATGTTTAAATGAATGTTAAAACATTGAGTATGTTTTAAATAAGAGCCCAGGTAGATTTAAGAACAGTTAATCCTGACTTCCGGTTCCAGATCGCAGCGCCTACAGCTGTGCGAAGAGACTGCTCTCTTCGCCAGCTGATTCTCCGCTGCCGGTAGACCCTTAATCAGGTCGAAAAACTGCCCTGGAGGGGCGGCTACCGCTGAGGAGGCCCTCATCATTCGTGGGAGAGTGGCAGTTTCTTCCACAGCTTGAGATTGCTCCTTTGGGCCGACGGTGGAAAGATCAGCCAGTAAAATGGCCGTTCACCTTACCACTGTAACCAGAAGTCAGAAGAACATCTAAGCACAGGAACCACCGTGACTGAGCTGGGTGAGACTTTTTTCTTTCCCTCTCTTGGTTCTCCTTTTTTTTTGGTGCCTGTAAAAAGCACTTTTGAAATTATTTCCCTGCTCTAAGAAAGCGGCGTTTGTGAGTGTGGGAAAAAGAAGCTTAAATGGATTGAATTAAGTGACTTTTTTTTTCTATTTTTATTCTTTTTTATTCACTTTGGGGTCTTGGAAATATTTTTTTAAAATTGAATCTACCATTGGACTTAGTCTACATCTGAAGAATTCTTCTTGTTTTTGTGTTTTCTGATCTTATAATGATATTTCTGGTCTCTGGGAGGAGATTTTATATTTTACTGAGGACACCTGGTGGAAAAAGTCAAAATTGCAACTGTCTCCTTTTCTGATGGTGAGACTGACTTTGACCATCAGATTACCATAAAAGGAAAAAGACAAAGAAATTTAACAGCTGTATTGGAGAGGGTGGATACTGATTAAATGTTCCTTGAACACAGCCTCTACTAAATGATACAGACTGTTTCTAATTATTTTTGAAATGGAGAAACCCTATGTTCAACTTGACTATAAACTCATACTGGAAAAACTTTATGAAGCTACTGACCAAATATGTTTGCAAATAAAAGAGTGTACTATGGCAATAAAAAAACAAAAATCCTGCTTTGAATTTACAAATTGACTCCCAGACTCTATCTGAGCATTCTATAGACCAAAAAACAACAGAAGTGCAATCAACTAAGGTTAAAGAAGATTCTACTTTACTTCATATGCATGCTGATGAGATCTCTGAGGAACTAAAAAGGACTGTAACTAAACCACTTACAACTTTAAAACCAACAGAAATGGACAGACAAGCTCAACTAACTGAGAACTATGGTAGCTTGGATAAGCAACTATTAACTACAAACTTGGACATAATTGGGCCTGCTATTCAACAGTTTTAAATGTGGAGACTTGACTCTTTAAAACAACAAGGGATTACTTACAAAGGAGCTAGGTCTTTAAAACAGAAAAGGGGATGGTTTTGTTTGACCCAAAGGAAACTACAAGACATAAAAAGTGACTTGTTCATTGATATAGAGGCGTTGTTATGGAAACCTGTCTGGCATAAAAAGAAAGCCAGAATAAGATTTAAGAGTGTGACTTAAGGCTTTATATGGCGGGTTTAAAAGGCTTACTGGATATGGACAGATTTATGGCTTAAGACAATTAAATAAGATGTTAGATTGAATAGAAATTAATTAAAGGTTTGAATTTAATAAGAGGATGTTTGTCTACATATTAACATGGTTGTTGTGGATATAGTAATTTTGGGAGGAGGTTAAAAGAGTTTGACACAGATATTGAGGGATTGATATATTATAAAGTATAATAGAAATAGAAAGGTATTTTTTCTCTCTTTCTTGTTTTATCTTTGTTTTTCTTTTTCTTTTTGTTCTTTTTTCTCTTTTGAACTAATATTTCTTTTATTAGAAATTATAGCTATTTTGTAATGGAAGAAGAATAAGAAAAAAGAAGGAATGATATTAATAAATGATTATTGATTATGTTAAGGAAAAAGGGAATGGAGAGACACCTGAAGTGTTAATTATGTATTTATATTAGCAATATGGAATATAGCAATTGAAATAGTAAAGCTTAATATAGGATTTGGATTTATTTAGATGAAATATTATTGATGATTGTTTTGATTGACTTAGCTGCATTGAAATACATTAACTTGAATATAATATGTTATTAGAGGGAATAGAGGTTTTTTAATGACTTAATCTGAACTTTATGAGTATGACTTTGTTTTTGGACAATTGATTGCCCTGCCACCACGTTGATTCTTAAGCACTTGTTTGTAAAATGAAAAAACTAATAAAACTTGTTTTTTTTTTTTTTAAAAAAAGACCAGTTCATCCTTCTGAGCAGGGAAATACTGTAAAGTAAACCCTCAGTTCAATGGAGCTTGCTCTGTCAGAAATGTATAAGGAATATAAAACACATATCAAAGTCTTGGAAGTGTGAAAAGGAAGACAGGACCTTCTATTATATATGGTAGGCCTGTCAAGAAGCAAAGACATTTTCAGCACAAATTCATACAAAAATACAAAATTATTCTATACGCAAAGACAAAAGAGTAATGAAATACCCATAGTTTTTTAAAAAAAGGATTATAAAATTGATGAAGTTTGCGGAAATGGCAAAGCTAATAGTTTGATCAGGGAAAAAAGATAAATACTTTTTTTTTAAGAATTAGAAAATCTATATATACTTTTTTTCAACAAAGCCTGAATTATGATTTATGGTTTTGGGAACTAAAAGGGCTAAAAGGGAAGGGAATTAGTAAGTAAAAAAAAAGTGGAGGATAAACAGTAAGATGGTAAGTTCATATAGAACAGCGGTTCTCAACCTATGGGTCGCGACCCCATTTGGGGTCGATCGACCACTTTTCGGGGGTCGCCAAAGGCGGCGATCCGCCATTTTGTCCCCTCCGGGGCGCCGCATGGGGGGGCACCACCGTGCATGCGCGCCGCACACCGGGGGCCCTGCCCCCATGCGCGCCACGCATGCGCATAACGTTTGTGTGACGGGGGTCGCCGTCACACAAACGTTGAGAACCGCTGATATAGAAAGAAAGGCAGAAATCATAATTCTATATCTCCTCCTCCTTCTCCTCCTCCTCCTTCCTTTGGTTCTTTAAACCTTCATTGTATTTAAAATTCTAATAATACATTTCAGTGGACCTTGCCAAAGAAAGAAGAGAAAACTGGAATGTTTATTCATGCCAAACTTTGGTTCTGTGTCCTATGCCTATCACATGGCTACCTGCAGATGCAAGGTAAACGGGGCCAGTTTTGCACAGTTCCTAAAGTTCAGGAAAGTGCACAATAGCAAGTAAACTTGGAGAGTGAAGAGATTCCTCATGGAGTTCAATTAGAGTCCAGTCCTTAAATCACTTCTGGGCCAACCCTTCTTACTCCAGGTGGATCATCAGCAGTAACAGTGCTTGTGACTCACTAAGGAATAGCTGGGATCAAAATCATCATCTCCTTTTTCTAGAAATGCAGAGAGCTTTTGTTGGGGCAGAAATGAAGAACGGATCATGTAAGTACTTTTTTTCCCATGAACCTATTTTCAAAATATCTGCTATAGTGAACATCAATATCTGTATTTTTCCCCATAGGTAGTGTTTTTCCTTTACAACTGATATTGTTGCTCAGCAAACATATTTGTATATCAGTCCTTCTCCTTCAAAAGTAATTTGGACTAAATTGCACACATTACAAAAGAACTGAATCTTATCTCAGGTCACCTTTGCTGAAACTCATATTAGGTAAATGATTCCACATTTGCAACAGAAGTATGAAAGCTTGCCACTACAAACCTATACCCGAGTGTAAGCCCCTATTGTTGAATATGAGGAGTTTTTTTTCTAACTAAATGAGTTTTTATGATTTCAGCATAATTGCAAGTTTGGCTTGCATTTTATTAAGTTTTGAATATCACTTATTTAGAAACATTCTGTTTATACCTTTTGGCAAATGTTCCCTAAGAAGAAACCACTTGGAATTGGGGACAGGCAATAACTTAATAGAAGCCAGGGACAAGGCCACCTAACTTCTTTATAAACAAATAACCAGACTGCAACAGGTTCTTTTCCAACCCTGGAAAGGTGACATCCTTTACAATAGCCTAAAGACAGCAGGTGAGCTTAGGAAGAAGAGGCAGCCCACATATTGCAAAGAAATACAGTCCTGTCCACAATACATTAACTCAGTTCATGAATTTCTCGTCGGACTTTTTGCACCACCTGTCAAACTGAGTGGACCAAACCACAAGTCTTCTTTGCCAAACTCTTCAGATTTGGGAAGAGGTTTTTAGATCTATGACATTTGTGTATCGATTTTTAATTGATTGGAAAAAAAGGTAAGATCAGAATTGTGGTCTGAAAGAATAGCAACAGGGGCCCCTTTGCAGAGTAAATGGTTCTCTACAGCTTGTAGAAATAGTCATATCAATATTTAATATGTCACAGTGGCCAGGCTAATGCTGGATGCTTCAAATCACTCCTCACTTCACTTCATATATTTTACAAAGTGAGATCATCCCTCTGTCTGACTCCAGTGTAGATTTTTTTCATGGAAGAATGAATATTAAGTTGATTACGTAATATTTATCCTTCCAATATTCTACAGGCCAGGAACCACCCACGTTTGCATCCACTAAATTCCATGACAGAATGATTTTTAGCCTCAATTCAACTCACAGAAATTGTGATTTATTTACCACTATCACATTTTCACACATTCATCACTTCAAAACCTTTAAAATGATTAAACCAGTGTTCTCTTGTAATGTATGGTAAATGTGCATCATAGATGACCTCTGTTAAGGCATCAACCTAGTGTCCAGTTTTATGGGTCTATGAAGCCTAAGACAATAACTACCAGTGGGTGAAGCCCGGCTCATGGATTTGTCCATGAACATTTGTCACCAGTTTTCTCTGGTTTATTTAATCACACCCCAGTCCATTCTCCAGCTCAGTGATTTTTCAGATGTCTCCTATCCAAGTACTATCAAGATCTGCCTATCTTATGTTCTCAGTCCAACCCAGACTGAGCCTGAGCTATGTTTTCAGAATATATTACTCTCTTACTACTCTTCAGAATTGTTCTAATTGTTCTAATTAGCTAAAATCCAAGAGTTGGTCAGACTGGAATATTGACTTGGACTGGAGTTTTACTTACTTGTATTGATCAATAGATCTACATCTTTACCGAACAACTTAGAATATTTTACCCAGATCCTAAGTAAACCCTATATCCAACATGTATTGTATTATATGCATCCATTGTACTCATTAGTTTCTTTAACACAGAGATATCCCCACCCACAAATATGCACAGCATTATCTAATGTGTACTATAAATACATATATTGGATATCTTCATCCTGGTTTTAGAATTTTCTTTTTGTTTGTTTGGAGTATTGTATCAATGAAAAACAGTTTATATATAACATGCATACTTTATCTTCATTGTGAATAATGGGGAGTTTGATGGCATATTGATTTGCAATCACTGAATAAAAAGGAAAAGATAAAGAAAATGTCCTCTGCTTTTAGAGATTATCAATTAATTTCTTCTCTGGTCACCTGTAAAAAGTGTTCATTTTTCCCCACAGGAGACAGAAATATCTAATGCTACTATGGCATCGACAAATGAAACAGTAGCAGCAGTATTCATCTTAATTGGATTATCTGACCAGCCTAGAGCCCAGGTTATCTTCTTTTGCTTCCTGATGATGGCATACCTCATTAGTTTTGTTGGCAATGGTCTCATCATCACATTAATTATTATGGACTCCCAGCTTCATACTCCTATGTATTTTTTTATTTGTGTCCTCTCCTTGATAGACTTCATTCTCATCAACAATGTAGTTCCCGAGGTTCTCATCAACTGCTTCATTTACAGGGCCACTATTACATTCTCCAGATGTTTGTCTCAAATGTATCTGGGTCTGCTGCTTGTTTCAACAGAGTGTGTTCTCCTTGCAGTCATGGCATATGATCGCTTTGCAGCTATATGCCAGCCCTTGCATTATGTGCAGGTCATGAGTTGGCGATTATGCAGTTCCCTGGTAGCAATATCTGTGACCCTTGCTTTCATGTTTACCTTGATCAATGGGCTTTTGCAGCCCACTGACTTCTGTGGCCATCGCATAATCAACCATTTTGTCTGTGAACTACAATCTTTTGTCAAACTGGGTTGTTCCAATTCACATATCAGTGAGATCTTGATGAATGTTTCCAGCCTCTTTCTCTTAATCCCTCCCTTTGGCTTCATAGTTGTGACATATGGTCGCATAGGCCGGGCTGTAATGCACCTTCGCTCAAGTCAGGGTTACAAAAAGGCCTTTTCCACTTGTAGCTCACACCTTGCTGTTGTCAGTGTCTTTTACGGGACAATCATCATAATGTACATGGTTCCAGAAAGAGAATCAGTTTCTGACAAGGGAAAGATCCTATCTATAGTCTATGGAGCTCTGACTCCTATGCTGAATCCTGTAATTTACAGCCTGAGAAACAGGGATGTGAAGGGAGCTTTTTGGAAACTGGTTGGAAAAAAGATATCAGATTAAATCAGTGTTCATCTCTGAGTATTATCCAGAGGCACCTGTAGCTGGCAGTTATTCATAACTATTTATTGTAGATAGTAAAAATTAGCTTTTCCCCATTATCACTGAATGATATTTCAACCGTGGTACAATACCCTACACAGAACTCATATCTGGCTGAAAACAGTGAAATCTCCCCTCTCAAAAATCTCCCCATTTTTGTAGTTGAGAGTGGGATCTTCTGCCTATTTACTGTATATATAGTAGCTTGCTCTACCAGTTTTGGTTGGGATTTGGTTTCTTTCTTGGTGATTCCTTGATTAAAGCATTGTAAATCTAATGAAGTTCCAGACAGTACCTGTTTTGACATCTGATGCACCATTTAAACAATTATGGAATTATATATCTAAATTTGTGTGGCAGGGGAAACCCCCCCCCCCGCAAATTAAATATAAGGTGCTACAAGATGCAAAGAAAAGAGGAGGATTAGGTTTAGCTGATTTGTTGCTGTATTTTGCTGTTTGGTTTGGATGAGAGATATTGCTGAGAAATAGAATGTTTGTAAAGTAAGAGTGACGTGACCTGAAATGTGAGCGACATGGATATTTGTTATACAACAAAGTCAAAGTTAATGTGGATTTTAAAAAATATTCTATTAGACGCGCCATATTGAGAATATGGACTACATAGAATTCCAGGTTGTGCCCGAAAACCTCTATGTGGTTCTCAGCACAAGAAGCATTTTATAAATGAGAGATAATAAGCAAACACAAATGGCTGCTTTATGGAAGTTAGAGGGTAGAGGCCTACCAAACTTCAGAGGGAAGAGTGCTCCATATGGCAGGGCCTGCCATGGAAAAAGAATACTTTCTAGATTCAATAATGTGTTAATCCTTAAGGACTAGGAATGTGCCTAGCTATCTAACCTGGTAGGAGAGATGGGAAATCTCCTTAGTGGAAAATGGTCCTTCAGAAAACCTGGCCCTGTGCCATATTAGGCTTTAAAAGTGATAATCTGGAAGGAAATAGGAAGCCTGTACAGCTTGTGCAACCTAGGGGCCCCCATCACTATGCACATTACATCATTCTTATATACTTTACATTGTCATACTTGGTGGCCTAAGTGATACTATTGCTGCCCTCTCATGGTCCTGGAAGCTGTGAAGGTTTGGATGGCTTTGACTGAACCCTGGTAAGATCAAATGGCTTTGAATGTGTGGAGGTTTGGGACCAGGAACTTTAGCATCTTTAGGTCTAGATTGGGTTATACTGTCCCAGCCAGACCCAGTGTGCAATTTGAGAGTTCTCCTGGACTTGTGATTCCTGCTCAAAGAACAGGTGGCAGTCATGGCTAGGGGACCCTTTGCACAACCATGTGCTGCATGCCAGTTGTGTCCTTTCCTGGATCGGGAGTCCCTGCACTCAATCAGTCAAGCCCTGATCATCTCATGCTTGGCCTATTGTAACAAATATTGAAGAACATTTGGAAACTATAGCTGGTAGTTCCTGGGTCCCCTAGGTGGCCCATGTTACACCACTGTTCTGCGTGCTGCGCTGGTTTCCAGTTTGCTTATAGATCCAATTCAAGATGTTGGTTATCACCTTAAAGCCCTTCATGGCATGGAACCAAGTTACCTGAGGAACCACTCGTCACAAGGGGATCGGCCCGCTACAACTTCACTGGCAGAAGGGACATGCTGAAGACCCCATCAGTCAATAAATTCCAGGAAGTGGGCTTCAGGAGAAGAGTCTTTCTGCAGTGGCGAATATTGTGGCCTTGAGGTGAGATCCGCACTCACTCTTTTGGCTTTCTGAAAGGGCCTGAAGACCTCACTCTGACAATCCAGTGGAGCATATCTTCCTGGAGGTGGTTAATAGACTAAAATAACATCCCACCTGCTCCCTGTGTGCAACTTGATCCTTACCATCTTGTCAATTTTAAACCAATTTTAGTGTTAATATTGTTTTAAAGTTTCAAGGATTTATTTCTTTTTTATGTCTGTAGGCCACTTAGAGTTGCCACTAGGCAAGATAGGTGGTGTTATGTCCTGGGCCTTTGATTGATAGAGCAGGTGCAGGAAGCTGCAGAGAGACCCGGGCAGACCACGTGGCTGCCCGGCCAGACAGGCTGTCTCCAGCCTATTGCTCACGGGCAAAGCAGAAAAAATACTTTGCATTTATTGGCTGACGCTGTTCCCTGCAAAAGGGTATAAAAGGGATCTGCACCATTTTGTGTTGTTCTACTGAAGCTTGAATAAAGAAGCAACTGTTGTTACACCTGCCTCATCTCAATGCCTTACCAATGCACAGAACAGAACAGGTGGCATATCAATTTATTGATAAGTAAGTAAGTAAGTAAGTAAGTAAGTAAGTAAGTAAGTAAGTAAGTAAGTAAGTAAGTAAATAAATAAATTCTGAACCAATTGAAGCTTCTGGGTGGTTTTCAAGGACAGCCCCATGTGGAGCTCATTGCAGTAATCTGAAGGGGAGGTGACCAAGGCATGAATTACCGTAAGAAAGACCTTGCAATCCAGGAACGGATGTAATTGGCACACTAGATAAATTTGTGCAAAGTCCCACCCCCATTCCTAGCCATGGCTGCCCCCTGTTCTTGAGCAGGAGCTGTGGGTTCAGAAGGACCCAAATTGCACACCAGCTCAGTCTAGGGAGCTGTCACACTCTCCAGAGTCAAGGATGGAATATCATCTGAGTCTGGGTGACCAAGAACCCAAAATCACTGTGTCTTTCCAAGGTTGAGTTGAAGCCTGGTCCTCCCCATTCAGACCCTTGCTCTTTACTCCTGCCCTGCAACTGAAAGATATTATAGAACTTGAATGGCAGGAGAGCATACTTCATTTCTTCTTTCAATCGTTCAAAAAGTAACAAAATATGTCTGCCTCTGAACTGCTTAGTGCTGCACTATTCCTCTGCCTTTGTAGTGGCTGCCTTTTAAAATTGATCAGAACATTGCTCACAAATAACCAAATTCCAAATTTGGGATTTCAAATTGGAAGCAACTGTTCAGAAGGCTCTGAGGAGGCTTGGATAATGGATTGTGTTGGGTGAGTCTAGGATTTTAGCCTGAGGACCCCCAATCTCAACCTCAGAATATTGCACATTAAAACTATACGGTCAGCAGCACATCATACACTTGTTCCAAGCAAGTGGTCAGGACACTGAAGGGCAGCAAGATTTAGGGCAACATGACTTCCTTCTGGAATGGGAGGGGAACATGGCAAAGCAGCTATATTGGGATGGTTTACTCTGAGCCATTCAGAATAAAAAGAAATGACAAAGAGACCATCTAGAATGGTCTCCAAGCTGCTTTGGTTCTCTGCCTTGTTGGGAATCCAGATTAGAATGAAGCTCTATAATCATTCTCATTTAGGAAAGCCTGAGAGTAGAAGGAAAGGGAGGAAAAGGTAATTTAAAATTTAATTAAATTTTAAATAAATTAAATAAAGTAATATTGTTTTGAAGGATTTAACATTATTTGTATATCTCCTATGACAAATCCAGAGAACTCTTTGCCCTTGAGTGACAATGGCCCATTAGCCACCTCCAATGAACATATCCACATGCCATTACTACTTGTACCTCATCATCCATCTGCAGCTGAGGCATCCTGAGGATAGCTTTAAGCAGTCTGTTCTGGACTGTTTTATCTCATTTCATCCCACCTTCAGACTCTACAAAGAGAAAACTGATGTGAATAAGGGAGTGGGTCTGAAATGAAGGGTAATGTCAGCAAAGGTGGGTCTCCCATTGGTTCGGCCAGGTTCCTGTGGGACCGCCCCCTTCTATGTGGTCATTAAACTATTCTCCCACCTCTGGGTTCTCTTTTGGTCGTGAAGGACATCAGAACACTGGCTTCCACAGCCATTTTATGCTATACATTTCTGAGAAGCTAAAAACTGGTTTTGCTGTAAAGCAGTCTATCTGGAAAAGAATGGCACAGTTGAACTTAAATAATGAAATAATTTATCTTTTCAACTTTAAACTTAATGGGCAAGAAATTCCCTTGAAATTCAATTAAAAATCTGTCCTTGGAATTTTATCTGGGCCTTCTTCCAGCAGAAATGCCATTTATTACCCACTGGGGAAAAGATGAGAATGAAAAAAAAAACGCTTTTACCTCAAGGAACTGGCAGTGTTGTTCTCAACGCCAAAGCAAAGAACAGATCACACACATTCTCCTTCTGCTATTTCCCCCCGCCTTCAAGTGGTTGTTGTTCTTCTCAAGCGGTAACTCAGGAGTGAAACCAACCACAATGAGGAACACTACCTTTAGCAAAAATATACAGTGCAAAGATTGTATGAATGGATGATACTAGAACTAAACTTCATCAAATCCCCAGTTTCTTGGAAAGCAAATAGCGCCATTTTTTCCCACTTTGCTCTTCACAATTACTTTGCAAGACATGAAAAAAATCTTTGGCCATTTATCACTGGAAGAACATTAGGTAAGCAAAACTTTAGAATTAAAAAGACAAATACAGAAGGCAATTTAAGTAGGTAGTTGTTCTCTGTTTGTATCTGTAAAAGAAATCTTGAATTCATGGAGACCTTGATCCAGACAGGATACTTTGAAGCCATGTCTTTAGAAGCAGCTTTCCCTGTTGGCAATCATAGGTAGTTGCTATAAAATGAGCACAACATGCAGATGCCAAACTTTATCATATGTGTTGGGGGGGGAGTGTTTGTGTATCTATATTTGTGTGTGCATGTATCTACAGACAAAGCAGGACTATCTTCTATTTGCTACTAAATGTGAATAAAGAATCTGAGACAGAAATAGGGCAAATGACCTTTAAATTATCCATCTGAATAAAAGCTAATTCAAAAAGGAGGGACAGAAAAAGGAAGTTTAGATGTAAATTTCAATTAAACAGAAAGCTGATGCAAAAAAAGAAAGAAAAAAGAATGAGAATGGAACTGTGGCTGAAATGAATTGTATTGTCTTCTGGTTATTCTAATGCTTATCGTTTTGATAAGGCTGGACTTGTTGCTAGTATCTCTTCTCTCTCTTCTCTCTTTATCTTTTATTCCAAGAATGTTTTTCTTTTTGTGAGATTTAGTCTCTAACCAACCTCCATTCTCAATCTCCACTTTTATGGTAAATTACACCTGGGGAAGAGGCCAAGAATTTGTTTTATAATCTCTCCTTTGGATTCTAGTACAGCACAAACAAGTGTCCTAGACAGTTTGAGAATGGATTACCTAGTATGTGGTTAGTTTTTCCTAATAAAAGTATCAGCCTATTTTCTATTCTGAGTAGAAACATAAATTTTCTCCAATATTTCCACCGTCCCAAAGAATTAACTGGTGTCATTAAGTGAAATTCTGATCATCATTTAACTAACAATAATTCTAAAGTATTATCATTAGAAAAAATATCAGTGCACTGCTTATAACATAATAAAGCAAAGAAAAATGAAGCTAAGGCTGATATCTTAATAGAGATGCCTCAGGTTTAGTAACAACACTGTGCCCTGCAACAAATTGTACTTGCTTACAATGTACATTGCTTACAATGTACAAAGTCTTTTTGGGCTCCGTCAGATCCAAAGAGGAAAGGATGGTGTCCTTGCAATCAGAGCTGATTCTACTTTGTAAATTATCTGAGTACTACAGCATTGCTTGTAATGAGTTGACTCAGGACATTTTTGTTTGGTTTCAATAACCGGGATGGGGATGAAGCTACTGCTTTCAGCTTGCTGCTTTCATTACTTTTGGAAAGAGATTTCTCCATCTTCAATCTGGGAGTGGATTTGAATATCTTGCTATGAGAGAGAATGTAGCTTATTTAGTTTTGGCTTAGCATTTTATGCAGTCACTGCAGTTTGCAAACAATATACTCTTTAATGCAGTGTGTGAACCCACACATGTCAGAATCCAACGATTGTATTCAATAAATCATGGTTAAAATAAATTCTGTCTAAGCATGATGTGCAAAGAGTTTTCAAACAAATACATTTTTATTTTTTCTATATAGCTTTGGCAGCCTAAACATTTAAAGTGAAGGTATTGCATCTCTCCTGAATGTAGTCAGTAATCACACCATTCTTTCTTTCCTGCAGGGGAGAATGAGAGAAAATATAGTAGGAGCTTCAAATGAATCACTGGTAACTGAATTCATTCTGATTGGATTATCAGAACATCCCAGAGCTCAGATTGTTCTCTTTTGGTTCCTCTTGATGGTATATCTCATTAGCTTTCTTGGCAATGGACTCATCATCATGTTGAGCATTGCTGACCCCCGGCTTCACACTCCCATGTATTTCTTCATTTGTGTCCTTTCTACTGTAGACTTTATTCTTACCAACAATGCACTTCCTGAGATCCTGGTGAACTGCTTCATCTACAGGCCCACAATTTCTTTCTCCAGATGTTTGGTCCAAATGTACATTGGCTTATTTCTGATTGTAGCAGAGTGTATTGTTTTGGCAGACATGGCATACGATCGCTTGGCAGCTATATGTCAGCCATTATACTACACGCAGATCATGAGTTGGAAATTATGCTTTTATCTAGTAGCCATGTCAGTGGCCATTGCCTTCATGACAACACTGATCAACGTGCTCTTGAAGCCCACTGATTTCTGTGGCCATCGCATCATCAACCATTTTGCATGTGAGCTTCAATCCTTACTCAAACTGGCTTGTTCCAACACAGTCAGTGAGCTCTTTATGCATATCTCCAGCCTCTTTCTGCTATTTCCTCCCTTTGGCTTCATAGTAGTGACATACATCCGCATAGGCCTGGCTATACGATGTATAAGCTCCACCCAGGGACGCAGAAAAGCCTTCTCTACCTGTAGTTCTCACCTTGCTGTGGTCAGTGTCTTTTACGGAACAATCATGATCATGTACTTGAGACCCGAAGGGAAATCCGTTTCTGAAAAGGACAAGGTCATATCCTTAGCATACGGGGCTCTGACTCCCATGCTTAACCCTCTGATCTACAGCCTGAGAAACAAGGATGTCAAGGGGGCATTTTGGATGCTGGTTCAAAGAAGAATCTTAATGTAATGTACACATACTGTATGCTCACCATCTACCATGTAGGTTCTTGTTGCTGACAATCTCTAGAAACCTTTTAAAAAGGAATTTAATAACCAGCGTTACTGCTCCTAGTAAACCCCAGAGGGCATAAGCAATACCGAATGTTAATGAGGACTGTGTTAGGGCTTCAAGAACTAGATTCACAATACTTTTGAAGAATATCAGGTTGGGGACTATATTAACAAATAAGCTGAGAATTTTAGATGCCAAAATACGCCCCCAAATACATTATTGGTTTCAACTTATTGATGGACGGGCTTTTCCACAAGTATATATGATAATATTTTTTTAAAGTACTTGTTATCCCATATGTGCTCACAGATAAGCCATCCATCTTCAATTTTCTAACCAAAATACCTGGGCTGGAGTGTAGTGAGGAGGTAGATTCTGAAGAGAAAGAGGCCATATTCCAGCGGTATAAGAGGCAATTCAGTCCAGATGTTATATATGAGAGAAAAAATGGGTGAAGACAGTCTGCCTCTTATAGTTTATAGATTACAATATAGAAGTGGATAGTAGAGTTTTTAGTTTGGAAAGATTTTGTCTGTAGGTGTGAAACAATAAAGAACTCACTGGCAAAAGTGACTGTGTCATTCTTGATTTGGAGCTAACATTTTCATGAAAAGCCAGTTTGGTCTCACGATTAAGGCACCAGACTAGAAGGCAGCAGACTGGCCATGAAAGCCAGCTAGGTGACTTTGGCTCAGTCACTCTCTTTCAGCTCTACCCACCTCCAGGATTGTTGTGGGGAAAACAGCAATAGCATTTAAACTTATATACCTCTTTCCAGTGCCTTACAGTCCTCTCTAAGTGGTTTACAGAGTCAGCATATTGCCCCCAACAATCTGGGTCCTCATTTTACTGTCCTCGGAAGGATGAAGCTCTGAGTCAACTTTGAGCTGGTCAGGATTGAAGTAGCCTGCAATACTGCATTTTAACCATTGTGCCAAAACCAAAATAGGTGGAGGAAGGTGTGTTGGATATGTGTGCTGTCTTAAGTTATTTGTAAAAATAATAAGGGTGAGATGCAAATAAATAAATAACAATTTCAAGAGAGTTTACAGTACTAATATTGTATGAAGAGATACACCAGGATCTGTGTCAAGTGAAGTTAAGGTTTGAGTCAATAAATATGTGATTGCACAAATCTGCTCTGCCAGAGGAATGATTGTAGCCTGTTCAATTATGCAGGAATTCATGAAGGATGCAAGAAAATAAATAAAGCATGAAACAGAGAAGGTCATAATGCATAATACTCATTTTATTGAAGCAGTTTTTGAAGATTTTAAAAAACAAACTCATTCCTTCTTCCTACCCAGAAATCTTTTAAAAATCATCCTTTGTGTGCAAAGAAATCAATTCATCTCAACATGTGAGGTACAAGCATAGAATCAAGTTGTTAAATGTTTGTTTTATAAGAAGTAGCATCATTTTCATCACAGGAGAAGGAAGAGAAATGCAGGATCATCAATCTCAGAGGTTGCAGCCCTGAGTCCATTTTGATAGATCTCTTCCTTGGCAGTGTTTTTGCCAGCCCCTCCTAGAAGTAAGAATAAGAATATTGCTTTTCTTTTTACATCACAAGCATGATAGTTTCTTTGATGATATAATTCTGCTTCAACAGATTCAGGAAGTTTCAAGGTGAGCTAGTTTTTCAATAAATCTCCTTTTCAAGTTAAAATGAAAAGAAAATAATAGTTTTAGCTAAAATAATCCCGATTTTCTAGTTCTCATAATAAAGCCTACATGCCAGTGAGGCCCAATAGATACATTGGACTCACACATAAACTTGCCAGAGTCCATGTTAGCCAGGGCTGAAGAGACTTAAAGTCCCAAGTATTGGGTGAACACCAGAGGATCACAAAATCTTGCCCAAAATCTTAGAGTGACTCAGAAGGACACACAACAGAGTAACTTTTAGATAACTTGAATTGCTTTATGATTTGCTTTTAAATGCCGATTGCTGGCTTAAAAATTTTCCTTTTAATGATCTGCTGCTGCAGCCCCTTTTCCTATTCATCCTATAACTGGAGGCTTCAGAAACAATATTTCCCTGCTTGTCCCACTATTAGCTTCTTTACAGATCCAGTTCTCTGATCCCTTGGAGCTCATTCATGGGATCAGAATCCTGGTGTTTAAAAGGCCATTTGCCAAATTCTTTTCCTGCCTCCCCCAACTGGGTGCTAAATCCCAATGTTGAACCTGTTTAAAAAGATCTGTAAGTAGTCAACAAGCACAAAACTGGATAATGGATTTCAAATTACTGGGAAGAAATTATCCAACTATACTAGGCATCAGCATTCACCCTGCTAAGCTATGTGCAATATGCTTTTAATCTACTTTTAAACTGGGATTTAAAAGACTGTCAAACCCAAATTTAAAAGATTGTTAAACTCATAATCTAAGACAACCGCCTGTATAGCAATAAAAATACAGCTTGCTATATCCAGAAACTGTACTTTACCACCAACGTTAATGTTGTACAACAGTCTAAAAAGGCAATTAATTTTCATGACTAAAAGTTCAGTTGTTATTCAATGCTACAAATAGAAAGATGTTGCTGAGAGATTGACTCACCAAGCATTCATCTTTTGTTTATCATGTACAATTTTCTTAGCACAAGCAATATCATCCGTGATGTCATCATTTAAGAAATCTGATGGGAGAAGCAAATTAGTATATGTCCCACCCCAGATGTTTCAAAGTTATTTGTATATATTTCCATAAAATTATTATATAGAGCAGAAAAACAACAAGTAGGAGAGATGGTGAGATTGTTGAGGCATGTGGGACAAGGAGACCTTTGCAAATATAGGTTTGGTGCTCATTAAAACTTAGATCACACTGGGGTGGGTAGTTGGCAGCACAAAGTTAGATATATTTTTGTGGGGGAAGGTAGACAAGTTGTGAGAAGCTGAGAAATGGAGTACTAAGTGGGGGAGCAGATTGAGGAAATATAACAAGCCAAGGAAAACATGGTGGCTATGTACTAGGTATCACAATAACCCAAGTAGGAACTTGAAACAATTTTGAATACAGGGTTGTTAAACATGAATCTTCATGAAGTGGTGGGTGCAATAGGACAATTACAGAGACCAGTAAAGGAGAAGAAGGACTAGAATTTCCCTACAAAGTTTTCATATAAGTTATTTGGGACATTTCCTTGGTAGTAGATCAGGTCAGGAAACAAACACTACAAGGATTATGGGAATCCATACTACTTCATTGTCATAGAACACAATAATAAGAACAGAATTTTGAAAATTTGTCAAAACTTGTATCTCCCGCTTCTTACATCAAACAGAATCAAGGTAAACAAAAAAAAAATTCTTTCTCTTTTAGAAGCTTCATCCTCTCCCATGGTTGAGTTGATATTACTTCTCATCAGCTTAATATACTCCTAACAAGTCTTGCATTCCTTTATCAAAGTTATCTCTCTTCTACATTACATGGCTTACCACTGCAAGGCTTCCTACAGCCATTCTTTGTACGGCCCTGGTTATTGTTGCACCAATAGCGGCTGTTTATCTGGAATATCCCATAGTCACGACTGCCGTTGTCATTTATATTCACAGCATGGGTTTTAAAGCCACTCTCATGATAAGCCATACAGATCCCTGGAAGAAAGCAAATGGGAAAAGTCCTACAAAAGGCCTGTGCTGTAAATGAAAAGGCTGTCATGGTTTCTCACACAGAACATTTAAACCAGAATATTTAACTATTTTCCCATTCTTTCCCCAGCCAAGGAAGGACCCCAAAAAATCCAATACATTTTAGAAACCTTTGGGAGAATTTGGATTAAGTCTGATTGTTGTCTCCCAAGATATTCCTGGGGTTCTTAATGGCACATAATGCCCCCTCTCCTTTCTTCTCTCTTCCTAATGCAGACCTTGCACTGCTGCACTTTTGGGCAATATTCTGGGATTGCTCCTTTAATTGTATCTTGAATTGAAATGATTTGCGGAGATCTGAAGGATCTTACCTTTGAGAGGATGCTTATAGTGGCAGGGATAGCCCCCTATTCTTAAGCAAATAAATAAAATATTAGCTATGCCAGTTATTGTTAGAAGACAATACAGAGATCACAAAGTAATCTAAACAAACCCCAGTTCTGCTCTTATCCAAAACAGGCAACAACTAGAGAACATTTACCCTCATTAAAATTAGGATGTTAATGCTGGATGAAGCATGAAATCTCCTCAGTCATTTGGGATGGGAAGAAAGGGTATCTTCTCATTCTAAGAACACTGAACAGAGCTTTTTAGTCATTGGGGTTTTTTTTTTTTCCAGCAAAGGAATTGCCCCATTTGCATCCCTCTTGCAAACCAGGATTTTGCTACGGTGGAGAAAAAGAGAGAGTAAACTCACAGTTGCCCAAGCTGTAGCCATGATATCCATCCACGAGACTTCGTTTCAGAAGTCTAGCGAATTCACATCTGGAGTATTGTTTGGCTTCAATGACTGCAATGAAGAGGAAGAGGAGGGCGAGCACTAGTGCCTTCATTGCTGCTGCTCCTTGGAGGACAATGTCTGACTTCTTCAGGACAGTTACGGGATTTTATAGTCACAGAAATTGGCACATCTGGAGACATTGTAAACAAAGTATGTAGCAATAATAATTCCCAAACATGAAGTAATTATGCACTGACCAGCAGAGAGTGCTGAGGGCAATAGCCAAAAAGAAAGAAAAAAGAGTTCACTGTCATTTTAAATTTTATAAGAAGTCAAACATAACTAAAATGGAGAAGAGCATTTTTATCCCCCTGAGAGATCCTAGGTCAAGGGAATCTGCATGAGGAGCAGTGGTGGGATTCATATATGTGAAAAACTGATTCTCTGTGTGAATGCCACTTCCAGAAGTCCATTCTGAGCCTGGGCAATAACAAATTAGCTACCGGTTCTGCCGAAGTGGTGACAACTGTGGTGACAATCCCACCACTGATGAGGAGTAACAAAACTAAAAGTGGCAGCTGCAGTTGTGTGATTGAAGGCTCAACCATTTTATGCCCTTACACAAGCAAGATGGAAGAATAAGCTTGGAACTGAACTCTGGGAGTTCTTCCAGTTTGCATGTTGACCTGGCTGAATTTATACAGTCTGAATCAATATAAACACCGAAGACATTTCTCCTAAATAACTGCACTTACTGGCCAGTGAGTCTTTTTAATAAATTCAAATGGATGGATTAGGTAAGAATTAGAATGGTGGGTATGTATTAGAGAAGAAATTGGAATGGAGAAATTATTAGGAATTAGAAGTATTCCTTCCTTCTCCCTTTCTAACTGCTAACAAACCTTGGCCAACTTTTTTGATTTTTCTGCCATGAATTCTCTAGTGGGTTTCAGGCACAATTTTTGGAGGAAGAGTAAGTTGATAGAAGCAGGCCTTTCAAATAAATAAAGAACGTGCAATATTACTGTGATGGTTTATAAGTCTTTTGTTATCTTTCAGAGTATGAAATGGCATGAAGCGAATAGTTAACTTTCTAAGACAGAAGGTTATCTTATATTTATTGCTCTTTAACTAGTGTACAAACTGAATCCCTTTGAAGACCCAGAGAAATTCAGCAGAAATTCTTGCTTCTTCCCCCATTCCCCATGCACACAGGATTGCTTTGTGAATATGTCAGGTCAAACTGTTGGCCCAGCTTCATATGGGGGCTCAGTTAAATCCCAATATTGGTTATACTAACCAGGAAGAGCACAAACTTAAACAAACTATTCAAGTAGGAAAATGCATTCCAGAGCAGCTCTGGGGCAGGAGGCAGGGGGCAGGGCTGCAAAGAGCTGAAACACAAGCAAGGCTTAGTGGTTTTTAAACATTAATTAATGATTAATTTTCAGTCCCAAATCTTGAAAGTTGCTGTTCCCCTTCAAAGATCATATTGAAGATAAACTTCCAAAATTGGTACTTGTGCCAGAGCTGCTCAGAGCTAAACAGTGATCAAATATACTCTGCACTTGGAAAGAAGTCAAACTAGTTTCTACTCACGAAGGGAAAGGTGCCCATTCTCCAAAGTTACACTCACTGAAAGGGTTTCATGTGGTGAGAGACAAGTATACAAGAGGGAAAGTGATATTAACTACATTCAATTAAATATAAATGAGATTAATGGAAACCAACAGATACCAATGCATTGTTTGTAACCCAACAAAGCCAAGCAAGCGAAGGCTAAGGCTGATACTTTAATAGAGGTATTTCAGGTTAATATGTAGCTTATCAGCTTTGACTTAGCATTTTATGCAATCACAGCTTGCAAAGAATCTATTCCTTAAAGCAGTGTTTTAGATGGCACAGAGGATGGACTTTGTAATACCTGAAATATGGGTTTTATAGTACTGTTGCTCTGCTAACATAGATTTTGTTGTATTTTAGTTTGCCTTATGCATTGCTAATATCTTGCCATAAGCCTTAATTATCAAGAAGAATGTAAGAAGCCCTTTTTTAGAAACTATGACTGGCCGAAATGTTTGATATATAATAGATAAAACTGATGCACAAAGCAAACATTTGAGCCCAGTGCTCTGTCAATGTATCTTACCCAAATCCCCTCTGACATTTTCCCTTGCAAGTGTTTTTTTTACTTCCATTCAGAATACAATACAATGCTCTTTTCTATGATTATGCTTAAATATTTTTGGATGCTTATTCTTATGATGTAACTGGACAGATGATTTTCCTAAACCAATCAACTTTTACTTTGAGGTTTCTTTGTTGTAAAAATAATGTAAACTTTTATTCTGCGTTCCTTCTTCTAAAGGGAATCGTTTTTAATTGAAACATTTCAAATAAATCGTAAATTAAATGACCTTCCTTGTCTTGTGGTCTAATTGGGATTAGAATACCAAGGCATGTAGAAGCGATACGTGGAAGCCATACTTGTGGCAGGAATTCTACTAGTATGTAGAAGCCATAGTAGAAGCCATACTTGGATATCAGTGTGAACCCATACATGTGGGAATCCAGCAACTTTATTAAACAAGTCATGATTAAACAAATTCTGTCTTAGCCTGATGTGTAAAGCAATCTTCAGCTGTGTTTTTACTTTTTTATGTAGTTTTGGCAGCCTAAACTTTTAAAGCGAAGGTATTGCATCTTTCCTGAATGTAATCAGTAATCACATCATTCATTCTTTCCTGCAGGAGAGAATGAGAGAAAATATGATAGGTGACTGAATTCATTCTGATTGGATTATCAGAACATCCCAGTGCTCAGATTGTTCTCTTTTGGTACTTCTTGATGGTGTATCTCATTAGCTTTCTTGGCAATGGACTCATCATCATGTTGAGCATTGCTGACCCCTGGCTTTACACCTCCATGTATTTCTTCATTTGTGTCCTTTCCACTGTAGACTTTATTCTTACCAACAATGCATTTCCTGAGATCTTGGTGAACTGCTTCATCTACAGGTTCACAATTTCTTTCTCTAGATGTTTGATCCAAATATACATTGGCTTATTTTTGGTTGTAGCAGAGTGCGTCGTCTTTGCAGTCATGGCATATGGTCACTTGGCAGCTGTATGCTAGCCATTATACTAGATGCAGATCATGAGTTGGAGATTATGCTTTTATCTAGTAGCCATGTCAGTGGCCGCTGCCTTCATGACGACACTGATCAACGTGCTCTTGCAGCCCACTGATTTCTGTGCAATCGCATCATCAACCATTTTGAGTAAGCTTCAATCCTTACTCAAACTGGCTTATTCCAACACAGTCAGTGAGCTCTTTATGCATATCACCAGCCTCTTTCTTCTGTTCCCTCCCTTTGGCTTCATAGTTGTGACATACATCCGCATAGGCTTGGCTATATGATGTATAAGCTCTACCCAAAGCCTTCTCCACCTGTAGTTCTCACCTTGCTGTGGTCAGTGTCTTTTATGGAACAATCATGATCATGTACTTGAGACCCGAATGGAAATCCCTTTCTGAAAAGGACAAGGTCATATCCTTAGCATACGGGGCTCTGACTCCCATGCTGAACCCTCTGATCTACAGCCTGAGAAACAAGGATGTCAAGGGGGCATTTTGGATGCTGGTTCAAAAAAAAATCTTAATGTAATGTACACATACTGTATGCTCACAATCTACCATGTAGGTTCTTACTGCTGACAATTTCTAGTAACCTTTTAAAAAGGAATTTAATACTTAAATTAAACTAAACTTACTGCTCCTAGTAAACCCCCGAGGGCATAAGCAATACCGAACATTAATGAGGAATATCTTAGGGCTTCAAGAACTAGATTCACAATACTTTTGGAGAATATCCGGTTGGGGACTGTATTAACAAATTATCTGAGAATTTTAGGTGCCAAAATACACTCCCAAATGTATTATTGGTTTCAGCTTATTGATGGATGGGCTTATCCACAAGAATATATGGTAATACTTTTTAAAAGTACTTGTTAGCCCATTTGTGGTCACAGATAAGCCATCAATCAACAAGCTGATCCTCAGTTTTCTACCCAAAATACCTGTGCTGGAAAGTAATGAGGAGGTGGATTCTGAAGAGGGAGGGGCCGTATTCCAGAGGTATAAAAGACAATTCAGTCCAGATATTATATATGAGAGAAAAATGCCTCTAATAGTTTATAGACTACATAGTAGAAGTGGATAGTAGAGTTTTTAGTTTGGAAATATTTTGTCTGTAGGTGTGAAACAATAAAGAACTCACTGGCAAAAATGACCATGATTTGGGGGCCTGACATTTTCATGAAAAGCCAGTTTGGTCTCGTGGATAAGGCACCAGGCTAGAAGTCAGGAGATTGTGAGTTCAAGTCCTCCTGCCTTAGCCATGAAAGCCAGCTAGGTGAATTTGGGCCAGTTGTACTCTCTCAGCCCTACCCACCTCAGAGGGTTGTTTGTGGAGAAAATAGGAGGAGGAAGGTCTATTGGATATGTTCACCATCTTGAGTTATTTGTAAAAATAATAAAGGCTGGAAATAAATAAATAAATTTCAAGATAGTTTACTAATATTGTATGAAGAGGTGCATCAGGATCTCTGTCAAGTGAAGTTAAGCTTTAACTTTAATAATCTGGTTGCCCAGATCTGCTCTGCCAGAGGAATGATTGTAGCCTATTGAATTATGCAGAAATCATGAAAGAAAATAATTACAGCATGAAACAGAGAAGGTCGTAATACATAACATTCATTTTACTGAAGCAATTTTTGAAGAGTTTAAAAAGCACACTCATTCCTTTTCCACCCAGAAACATTTGAAAAATAATCATTTGTATGCAAAGAAATCCATTCATCCCAACATGTGAGGTACAAGCATAGAATCAAGTTGTTAAATGTTGGTTTTATAAGAAATAGCATCATTTTCAGAGAAAACGTAGGATCGTCAATCTCACAGGTTGCTGCCACAAGTCCATTTTGATAGATCTCTTCCTTGGCAGTTGCCAGCCCCTACTAGAAGCAAGAACAGGAATATTGCTTTTCTTTCTATATCACAAACATGGTTGTTTCTTTGATGATATAACTCTACTTCAAGAGATTCAGAAAGTTTCAAGGTGAGCTAGTTTTTCAATAAACCTG